GGCCTCGAAGGCCGCTGCCAGAGTCCCGTGGCTCTGCTCTTCGATGCCCTCCTGCGCCCAGACACAGACTTTGGGGGCAACCTGGAATCCGTCCTCACCTGGAGGCAGGAGAAGCAGAGAGCCATCCCCCACGTGGTCCTGGGCCGGAACCTCCCCGGCGGGGCCTGGCATGTGAGTGGCCGGGGGCGGGCTGAGCTGCTGCGGGTCTGGGGCCACTCCCTCCCTGTCCTCCCCACTTCTCGTCCCCTTCCCCCACATCTCTCTCCTCCTCCCCAGTGGGTCGGCCTGGCGAGGCCTGGGCCTAAAGACCTCTCTCCACACAGTCCATGGAAGGCTCCATGGTGACCCTGAGCCAAGGCCAGTGGATGGGGCTTCCTGACCTGCAGGTCAAGGACTGGCTGCAGAAGAAGCGCAGGTAGGCAGCCCGCAGTGCCCGGGGAGGGGGGGGGGACCCGAGGCCAGGAGCAGGGAAGGGGTGGCAGAGACCCCAAAAAGAGGAGTGGGTAGTGGGTCTGGGCTCCCCGACCCCCTGTGTCCTATGCCCTGATGGAAGACCCCCGACCTGCCTCCCGATCCACGTCCCATGGCAGCCGGCCTCGAGGGTGCCCTGGCCCTGCCCTCACTTCTGCCCCTCCTCACCTAGCCCAGCCTGGAACCCCAGGTCAGCTGTAGGAGAGACTCTTCCTAAATGACAGCCTTTAAAGCATCACCACCCCACAGGCTGTTTAAATGGAGAACAGGGAACCCCAGTCCCACCCCTCCACCAGCACTGTCCCACCTGGGGTCTCTCCCCCCATCTGGTTTCCTGCTCCATCTTGACCACCACCACCCTCCCGCCACCCTGGCGCAGCAGGGGAATCATGGAACAAACACGTCCCACGGGGTGGGGTCCGCCCTGCAGGTGGGGCTGCCACCTCTCCCCAGGCTGCGGGGGGCATCTCCTGCCCAGCAGGCCTGGTGGCATGGACTCCACCGTGCAGGTTCAGGAGGACAGTAGTGAGGTGGAGTGAGCTTCAGGCTCACCTGCAGACACGCCCTTTAGGTCCCACTTTTGAAGTCAGCCTCGTGTGGTGAGAATTCCACAGGGAGGACTCAGTGGCGCAGCGCCCCTCACAAGGAGCCCGTGGAACACTTACGGGCACAGGGCCTTGTGCTTCAGGGTCAGAGTGAAGCCCTCAACCTGCTCGCCCCTCCCTAGTCGCACTGCCACATGGCCACCAACACACGGCCTGCCACGGAGCGTTAACTCTGTCCAGTGTGCTGCCAAAGCCCCACTTAGAGCAACCTCGGACAGGTCTCCGTCACAGAGAAGAGGGCGAGAGGGAGCCACAGAAGTCAATCCCAGACTTCAAGTCTCAGGGGCAGCCAGGCGGGCTGGGCTGGCTCCGTGGCCTGGGGGATGGTCAGTCCCTGCCACAATGGTGGCACTTAGCCATTCAGATCCAGGTTCAGATCATCCTCAGCCAGAGGTCCATGAGCTGGGTAGATGACGCCACCTAAAGCCAGGCAGCAGGTACACAAAGCCAGGGGCCACGCTTGCCCCACAGCCTCTGCTCCAGGAAAGGGGACAGACGAGGCTACAGGAGCAACGAAAATGTAAAACTGCCCTGGCTCTGGTGGCCGCGGCTGTCCTCCAGAGGGGTGTGTAAGTCGCTTTTAAACTGAGACAGCCTCCCCAGGGGACCGCCCAGCTCACCCAGCACAGGCTGCACAGGTCGCAGCAGCCCCAGCAGAGCCCTCCCCAGAGCCCCTGCATCCAGGGGCAACCCGCTCCTGGCCGCCAGCTGTGCAGAGCCGCCTGCCTGCCCCTGAGCTTCGAGGTGCCGGGGTCGAAGCACATTTCCAGGGAACACTGTCAACCCTTGGGGTCCTGATGGAGGCCAGCCGGTTGGCTCTAGGCTCTTGGTTTATCAGGGCCCCTGTCTCCTCGGCAACCCCATGAAGCAGGTCCTGTGGCTACGGTCACTCTTGTTTCACGAGGGGACACTGAGGCACAGGTGTTTCTGGCACAGTAAGCAGCAGCAGAGCCAGCACCAGGACCCAGGCAGCTGGCTCTGGAGGCCCCAGCCCCACCAGGTGCCCCTGCAGCTCCGCCTCACAGAAGGGGACACTGAGGCTTCCCGAGGCTAAACCGCCCTGCCCAGCCCTACGGGGGCTGAGTGGCACAGCCGCTGCCCAGCTCCAGGGCCTGACACCACCATGCTGGTCACGCCCTGCCCACCCTGGACGGCAGTCCCTGCTCTGACACCTGCCCCCATGTCCTCCCACAGGGGTCTTCGCAACAGCCGAGCTACAGCTGGGGACATTGCCCGCTACTACAGGGACTATGTGGTCAAGAAGGGGCTGAGCCGCAACTTCATTTCTGGTGCTGTGGTCACGAATGTGCAGTGGGGGGCTCCTGAGCCCAGCGGCTCCGGGGCCCAGGGCCCGAGCCCCCTCTTCCAGGTGAGCGGCTTCCTGACCACCAAGGACCGGAGCCGGCAGCCCTTCTCGCTGTGGACTCACAACGTGGTCCTGGCCACGGGCACGTTTGACAGCCCGGCCCGGCTGGGCATCCCCGGGGAGGCCCTGCCCTTTGTGCATCACGACCTGTCAGCCCTGGAGGCGGCCACGCGGCAGGGAGCCGTGACCCCAGCCTCGGACCCGGTCCTCATCGTGGGCGCGGGGCTGTCCGCCGCCGACGCCGTGCTCTTTGCCCGCCACTACAACATCCCCGTGGTCCACGCCTTCCGGCGGCCGGTGGACGACCCTGGCCTGGTGTTCAACCAGCTGCCCAAGATGCTGTACCCCGAGTACCACAAGGTGCACCAGATGATGCGCGAGCAGTCCTTCCTGTCGCCCAGCCCCTACCAGGGCTACCGCAGCCTCCCGGAGCACCGGCCCCTGCTCTTCAAGGAGGACAGCCAGGCCGTGTTCCAGGACGCGCAGGGCGGCCAGCAGGTGTTCGGGGTCTCGCTGGTGCTGGTCCTCATCGGCTCGCACCCTGACCTCTCCTTCCTCCCTGGGGCGGGCGCTGACCTTGCCATGGACCCCAAGCAGCCGCTGAGCGCCAAGAGGAACCCCATCGACGTGGACCCCTTCACCTACCAGAGCACCCGCCAGGAGGGCCTGTACGCAGTGGGACCACTGGCCGGGGACAACTTTGTGCGGTTTGTGCAGGGCGGGGCCCTGGCGGTGGCCAGCTCCCTGCTAAGGAAGGAGACGAGGAAGCCACCCTAGTGCCACCTGAGTCCTGGCACCCAGGCCCTGAGGAGGAGGGACATCCCCACAGCCTTGCCGGCAGCAGGGCCCACTGAAGACGCAGCGCCAGGGCCTCTCCTGGCCGGAGACAGAAGGGCCGGGAGGAGCTGGCCGTACCTGCTGCCCACGTGCAGACCAAGGCCCGAGGCAGGAGCGGTGGCCACAGGCCAGAGTAGGCCTGGGCCCGGGACCTGGTGTGAGCTGGGCTCACGAGGGCCAGCTGAACACCCAGACGGGAAGAGTGCAGGTCCTGTTCCTTCCAGAGTCACAAATAAAACCAGTGTCTGCCTCCACTCCCACACCCAAGTCTCTGTGCCTGGGGGCGGGGTAACCAGGGTTGCCTATGGCTGGGGGTGGGGCGAGGCAGCTGAGCAGGCCTGCAGAGGGCAGGCACAGGGGGTGTGCTCTGGGAGGGAAGGACAGGGACCCCCTGTCACCCCTGCAGCTGGCCACCCCTCCCCCTGTCTGTTCCAGTCACAGTTCCTTCCAGCCACTCATGCTCACCTTACTCTATTTGCTCCTGCCTACCTGCCACAGAGCCTTTGCACAGGCTCCTATCTAGCCAGAGGCAACTTCCCTCCTCCTTTAAATCTCTCAGAATAAGAATCAACTTGCTCTAGGGGCTGTGGTTGTGGCTCAGCAGTGGAGCGCCCTGGGTTCAATTCCCAGCACCACATAAAAATAAAGATATTGTGTCCAACTACAACTAAAAGAGAGAGAAAAAAAAAAGAATCACTTGCTCCAGTGTGGCAGTGGCACAGGTCCCTAATCCCACACCTGGGGGGCTACAGCAGAACAGCAAGTTCACCATGCTAGCTAGCCTTGGCAAGACCCTTTCTCAAGACAGAAAAAGCCAAAAGGCTGGGGATGCTGTGCAGAAGTAGGGCACCTCTGGGTTCGAGCCCAGTACCAGGCCTTAGGAAGGCTCTCTGACAGGATGGGCCTGGCCACGGTCAGGACAAACCCTGCTCTCGGCCTGAGCAGACCTTTTTCATTCTCGCTTATCTGTGGGATCCAAGAGCTGCTCCACACTTGGATGTGAGCTCCAGGCGGCCAAGCACGGGGTCTCCCTTGTCCACTACTAGAACCCAGTGCCCAGCATCCGGCCTGGCACCTAGTGGGTTCTCCCTAACTGATCCTTAGATGGGCAGAGAGACGACGCATGGACCGAACCGGGAGGAAGGCGTTTGGGGCCGAGGCTGATGGGGCTCGATGTCGCACAGGGCAGGTCTGGGGCCGCACCAGCAGCCAAGTGTGGGCGGCGCGGGGGTGCAGGGGAGCCCGGGCGCGTGGGCGCCGATTCCTGGAGTGGAGCCGGCAGAGGGCGCTCCGGGCTCGATGGACACCGCGCTCCGGCCCCTGCGGCGGCGCCACTGGGGGGGACCTTACGGGGGCCAGCGGGACACTTTCGGGGGTCAGACTCAGGGACGCCCCGCCCGCAGCCAGGTCCCCCTCAACCCCGTGCCACAGGGCAGTCCCTCCGCGGCGGGCCGGGGTCCGGTCGTCAGGCCCCGCGCCCCGGAGGGCAGCCCCCTGCCGCTGCGCGCGCGTGGGGGCGGCGGCCGCGGGGCACGTGGCTCGGGGTCCGGGCGGGGCGCCCCCGCCCGTCCCCCGGCGCCGGCCATCCCCGTGGTATCCGCGGCCGCCGGGCCGGCGGGAGGCGGGGCGGCGCGGGCGGGCGGCGCCGCGAGGGTCGCGTGGGGGCGGCGCGGCCGGGAGGGGGTCGGCGGGCTTCCGGGCGGCGGCGGCGGCGCGGCGCGATGTGCGAGCGGGCGGCGCGCCTGTGCAGGGCCGGCGCGCACAGGCTGCTCCGGGAGCCGCCGCCGCAGGGCCGGGCGCTGGGCGGGCTGCTGCGCTGGGTGGGCGCCAGGATGGGCGAGCCCCGGGCGCCGCTGGTCCCCGACGCCCCCGCCGCGGACCCCGGCCCCGCCGCGCCGCGCGGGGGCACCGCCGTCATCCTGGACGTGAGTACGCGCGGGCCGGGACCCCCGCCCGGCGGAGCCCCGCTGGGACCCGAGCCCTTCCTCCCATCGGGGCCCGGCGGCACCCGGGGCCCCTCCTCCCTGAGCAGGAGACCCCGGCCACCCGCCTCGGAGGCCGCGGCGGGACCCCTACCCCAGCTCTCTGCGTCCCGAGCGCGAGCCCCCAGCCCCTCTGCGCCCGGGGCGGTCTCCGCCTGGACCGGGTCGGCCCCACTTCTCTTTGCTTCCACTTCCCGGGATCCGGGCTGGACCCTTGAGCCCCTGCTCGCGGCCCCCGCCCCCTATTTCGGTTCTAGCCAAACCCTCTCTATTTAAACCTGGGGACAGGAGCCCCTGGCCGCCCCACCCCCGCTTCTCTTCCCCAGATTCCTGCCCGGAGCGATACTTTTTTGAGACCCCCCACGCCCCTGGCTCTTGCCCTCTTCTTTGCTCTGGACCCTGAGTCTTCCCGTTCTGGGCTGCAGAGACCCTTGGGCCCTGCCCATCCACCCGGAAAGCCAAGTCCCCACTGTCTCCTGTCCATGGACCCAGAACCATCGCCCCCCACCCGGAGCCCAGTGCTGGGACCCCTCCGGCTCCCCACCCACTCCACTCTGAGCCCCTCTGCCCGCCGTTCCTTTCCCCACCACCCTGCCTACCAAGAGCTCCATCCTTCTCACCCCTACTAGCTCCCCACCCATCCTGACCACCCACAGAGCCCACCTCACTCTCCCATCTTGGGTGGGGGAGGCTTGGGGCAGCAGGCTCCCCCCACTAAAGCATGTGGCAGCAGGAGGAAGGGGGATCAGGGAGGGTGCGGGTCCCAGTGGGGATCCTGTGCAGCTGGGGGTGCCTCTGCGTGTGTCATGGGTTTCTGTGATGGTTGTGGGTGTTTCTGTGTGAGTGTGTGCACATATGTGTACCACGCATCGCATCCCTGCAAGTGGAGGGACCTGGGTTTCCTGTCTCCTCCTCCCCGATCCCATAGGTGGGTCTCACTGGAGGGCTGGAAGGGGGGGCGTTCTGGGGCCTTGGGCGCACACACCCACTTGTGCATGCTTGCACACACACACACACACAACAGGGCACACAGCTACACTGGCTGAGCATGAGTGAGCTCAAAGTCCCAGGCAGAGGCCGCAGCACAGCCTCCCCCTGCAGAGAAGCCCTGCCCAGGGGCCAGCCTCTGCCTCCTCTGCCTGGCCATGTGGGCTCCGGGCTTAGGTGTCCTCATCAGTGAAGCAGGGAAGGGGCTGGGGAGGTGCTCATGCCCACTCCAGAGGCAGCCTCACCGGATGTCCACTGTGCCGTGTCAGGACCTGCCTTAAGGATCTCTGCCCAGTCGGGAGCAGCCGTGTGGGTGCCCAGCCTGGGTCTTGGGGAGCCCGGCTGGTGTGGGAGCTCAGCAGGGAAGCAGGGAGGCGGGCAAGCCTCCCTGAGTGCTGCCTCCGGCCGACTCCATGCTGGGCCTGGGAGGGCTGGGACACTCCTGCCCTGTCACTTGTAGGGGTGAGGGTGGTTAAGGGCATCTCTCCTTCGCTCCAGAGTGAGGACTGAGATAGATGGCCAGAGGGGGTGGCACCTCCCGCGTAGCTCACTGGGCCCAGCCAGACCCCCTGGTATCTGGGAGAACACGGGGGGGGGGGGATTGCCAGTGTCACTGCCCTCCTTGGGGGTGGCTGAAATCAGCCAGTTCCATTGGGTGGGGGTGCCCCACACCCTGGAATCCTTCTGACTTCATTGTGCTGGTGACTCAGCCCTTGGGGCCTGGTCAAAGTGCACGTTCTGACTCGGTGGGTCCAGGGGGGCTGACTCTCCACATGCTGACAAGCCCCAGGTGGGGCAGCTGCTGGCCCTGGAACCTCACTCTGTGGGTGGCCAGGTCACTGTGGTGGTTGACCCAGGTCTGCCCTGAGCAGCAGACCCTTGGCTCTGAGGTCCAGCCTGGGCTGAGGGGCTCTCCAAGCCCCCGGCCGTCTTCACTGCCTTGCTTCTGGACACACAGTGCCTATCACCAGCCTGACCTTGAGGCCGGTTGTCTGGAGAGGATTGCAGAGTGCCTGGTCTCTGGGTTCAGGCTGGGCAGGGCCTGCCCCCCATGCCCACAGCTGGTCATCTGAGCTCCTGGCCTCCTGCCCTCACCCACTCCCCTGTCCAGACAATGGAGTTGTCCTGCCCTTGGCTGGTGTCATGGCCACACCTGGGGGACACCTCCTCCAGACCTCACCCAGCCTTCCTGGAGAGGCCCTAGGGTTTGGAAGGAGTGTGGGGTGAAGCCAGTGGCCCCGTGGGACCCTGCTGAGTGCCAGGCAGCGGGTGGGTGAGCCGTGGGGATGTGGCCAGGCACACCTGCAGGGATGTGTGTGGGCGTGTGAGTGCAGGGCGGGTGGCGCAGAGGGAGGGGGTGGCCCTTCCAAGGCAGGGCTGGGAGCCTCGCCTGCAGGTCCTTCCCCTGCCCCCGGGCCCTGCCCAGGTCTCCTCCCTGGGCCAGAGCTTCTCCTGGGGAAGGGAGGGATCTCAGGTCCAGCACGGAGGGCGCCTGGCCCCTACCAGCTCAGGGCCGACCCCATCTCTCTTCTCTGCAGATTTTCCGACGTGCGGACAAAAATGGTGAGTTACCTCGCGGGCTGTCCGCTGAGTGAGGAGCAGGTTCTCTGTCCTGATGCTTCACAGGGACGGGATCAGGGGTAGGAGACGTGGACAACCTTGAACCTAAAGACTCTCGAATCAGAAGGCCGGGTCCTGGTGCTGCCCTGGGCCTTGGTTTCCCGCCCGCGCAGCGGGCATCCCCGTAGCGTCTGCTGCGAGGGCCCCGGCTGGGCCTGTGATGCGGAGGACCCTGGGTGTGCTTGTGCTGGCATAGACTGCCCAGGGCGGTGGACTGGCCTCAGAACTACCCTTTAAAGGAAGCCCCAGCCTTATTCCAAGTCCCTTGAAGCCTGGGCACGTCCTCATAGCCGCCCAGTGCACTGGGGGCAGCTGCCCTCTACTGTCAGTGCTTGATGACCCAGAGAGGTTAAGTGACTTGCCCCCGGGTTGCTCAGCAGCTGAAGGAAGTCGGAGCTGCGTCATGGACCCCCAGCCCTTGCCCCGTACCTCTCAGCACTTCAGCAGGGTGAGCCCCATGTCGCTGTGGCCCAGGAACTCGTGGCTCCTCCACTCCTGACTTTTGGGGAGACCCACCAGGAGGGAGGCAGGGGCTTGAAGATGAAGCAAGGCCTGCACCTGTGCTCCTCCCGCGAGGCCCTCAGCCTGCGCCTCACTAAGAGCACCACAGTCACCGTCGGGCTCAGAGCATCCCTGTGACCTCTCCCCAGGATGCCCTGTCCCATCTGTTCCCAGGCTGGTGACACCTACCCTGCCTGCTGCCCTGGGCTCTGGGAAAAGCCAGGCAGGAGCTGTGGGCAACTGGGGTCGCCCACCCCAGGGGTCCTCGTCCCCAGCACCTCCTCCCCCTGGGGGCACTGTCGACTGCCCCCCTGGCTGTGGGGTGGAGCACAGGCACAGAGGTCCTGGAGAGGTCTCCCGCCTGACCCCATCCTGCACGTGAGGCCAGCTCAGGGTGAAGGCCATTGGCAGTGACTCCAGGAGGGGAGGAGGGAGAGGACGTGGGAAGATTAACTGGAGCCCAGGAAATGGCCGCCGCACTGCGGCCTGCAGAGCCTCCGCCGGGAGCTGAAGGAGGCCAGCCCGGCTCCTCCAGCAGGCTGGGAGGGCCTTGCGGGTGGGGATTTGGGTCTGTCCCCTGCCGTGGGGCTGCTCACACACTCAGGGCCTCCGCTAAAGGGTGATTGCGGGGAGGAAGCCTGCCCGTCGGGGAGGTGCTGGCCTCTGCCGGGAGCCCCGCTGTGGGTCCACACTCCTGCCCGGGAGAGTGAGAGCTTCCGACTGCCATCCCCCGGGATGTGTCCTCCGTGCCCTTCCACCCTGTGGGAAGCTGTTTCTGTCCCCTGTGCACAGCTGCGGGGACCCTCGTGTCATTCCTGCAGCCGCTCCTCCTCCCGGGGTCGTGTGTGTTCCCACAACTGCCGTGTGGCCATGAGGGGTTGTCACCAGGGCTAACGTGATGTGAGATGCCAATTCCAGTGGGAGATTCCAGGCTCTGGGCCTGCAGGAGGTGAGGCTGGGCCCCTCCTCTGTGCCTGGCAGGGACAGTGCATGGCCAGCCTCTGCAGCAGATCTGCCAGGGATTCATGTCCTGGCTCAGCCGCTTCCAGCTGAGCAAGAATGTCACCAAACTCAGGGCCTCCGTTTCCCCATCTGAAAAAGGGGACTGTGACACCCACCCCGAGGGCTTGCGGGCAGAGAGGAGCTCCAGGCTTGGCTCCTACGAAATTAATCTGCCAAACCGGCCGACGGGCACTGAGTCCCTTGGAGAAGGGCCACCTATGGGTGTGGCTGGTCAGCAGGCATTTGCTGGCACCCTGGGCTCCCTGGAAGCTGACCCCTGCCGGGGTGCTAGCGGTCCCCGGATGCCTGCAGTGTGTCAGGACTCCTTGGATGAACTGCTCCCCTTTCACGGATGACAAAGCAAGGTGTGGGTAGCAGATGGTGTTCTTGAGGTGGGCAGGGTGCAGGTGGGGTTCTGACTCAATGCTGGAGGTTAGAAACAAGGGGTGGGGGCAGCCATGGCAGTAGGTGTGCGTGGCGCAGGCGCAGATGATCCAGATCACAAGCCCCTGCGGCCCTGCTCAGGTACCTAGGGAAGGACCCCAGGGTGCCTGGGGGGTGGGAGATGGGCGTGCAGTGTCCACCCGGGCTGCAGATCAGAGGGCACAGGCCTCGGAGACTACAGCAGCGAGGACCTGAGGGCTGGCTGTCATGGGGGCACCCATGACAGAGTCCGTCTTGGCCAAGGTCCCCAGGAGACACCTGGAGTGGGGACCCTGACAGACAGCCTGGGATATGAACCCAAAAGGTGGCACTTGAAGGCTGACAGAGAGGTGAGGGCCAGCCACCCTCTCCCCCCAGGGCCAGGGACACCAGGCTCTTGAGGTTTGAAAGGCCACTGCCTCGGGCCAAGCTCGTGCTAATTAGTGAAGACACCTGAGAAGGCCCTGCTCAGCATCTCTGGTGGAGATGGCAGTGCTGGCCTCGGGCTCGGCTAATTGGACACGAAGCCTGGGGGGAGGGTGTTTTGCCTCATTAACTGATACAGGTTCATTAGCCCCGTGGTTGTTGATGTTCAAGGTAAATGTCAGCTGAAAGCCTTTGTGGTGGGAATGGCCGGCTGCTGCCTCTTCTCCCTGGTGCAGAGAGGACCCAGGTGCTGGGACAAAGAGGAAGAGAGGGAGGGGGGTGCTGCAACCCCGCTGTGCCTGGTGGCCATCAGACCTGGCAGATCAGCAGCAGCCCGTCCAGGCCTGGCCTCAGCTTCTCCCCCCGCAGGACAGGACTGCTCACCGTCCCTCGCCAGAAGCAGTGGGGGCACTGTGCTGGCCCCTGCCGAGGGCTGGGTAGATGAGGGGTCTTGTCACAAGACCCTGGCCTGGGTTGGCCTGAGGGTCTGGGCTCAAGCTACAGCTGCAGGACCTGGGTTTGTCCCTATAAAGGGGGATGCCGGGCCTCGGGTGGAGAGCCTGGAGCAGTGGGGACATGAAAGGGGTGCTGGCGGGAGGCTGCTCCCTGCCGGGACACCTGGATGGGCCCCAGAGCGCGAGAGCTGGATGGAGGTCTCACGGTTGCCTTTGGGGTCTTGGTGTGTAGGGGCTTGTGTCTGAAAGATACAGATGCTTCCTTCCTCTGGGACACCACATCCCCCTCTCCCAGCCCGATGCCTTATGGCCCCCAGGGAAACGCGGGGAGCCGCCGTGAGCCTGAAGGTGCCCCGAGTGTTCTGTGGGCCTGGCAGGGCACCGGGTGCAGGCAGAAGCACGGGGCCTTTAAGCTTTAAGAATGATTTCCATTCTGAACCCAAGAGGGCCTGCCATATGCGACTGGGCAGGTCGTGCCCTGCACAAGGGCCCTCATTCCCGGGGGACAGAGGCCTCGGGTCCAGGTGGCACTCCACTCCAATCCTGGGCTTTGTCCCTCCACAGGAAGAGGGCGTCTGATCACACGCAGGTGCCGGGACTTACGGGGATCCTCCCCTTAAGCAGCTGACTTTGATTGCCGACTCACTAGGGGCTGCGTGGCCTTCTGCCCGTGCTCTGCGGCTTTCCCATAAGATGGGGCAGGTGTGGGGCCAGCATGCCAAGTGCTCAGCAGGTCCGCCGGGTGGAAGGAGCAGGGCTGACACGCAGGACTGGAGTCCCCCTTAGCTGCCTCCCTCAGTGGCCCAGGCTGACCTGATCCCACGAGACCTTCCTGGTGGGGCCAGCGGTGTCCCCTACAGATAAGTGCACACAGCCAGCAGAGGGGGAGAGGGGGAGGCGAGTGACCCTCTTTTAGGGCCTCGCCACCCACCACCCCAGGCCACAGCTCCAGCCAGACGCGGCTCGCGCAGGCTCCTGTGGTGCTGGGCTCGGCCCTGCTGGCACCTCCTTCCCTTGTGGTCTGGCGGCTTGAAAGATGTGTTCATGGCCAGAGAGAAGAGTAGTGCTGACCATGGACAGGCGTCTCTGGCCGCCATGTGGATGGGCCCAGTGGAGGGGCTGGGTCCTTCTTCAGAGTCAGGCCTGAGGGCCGGGGTCTGCCGGTCACCGTGGAGAGACCAGGTGGAAGCAGTAGGCGTTCATCAGACCACAGGCTCAGCTGCACCCTGACCAGTGGCGTGTTGCTGGGCAGGTTGCTGGGATGGGCGGAGATGGGACAGAGGCCATCCTGGAGGCGGACACTCCGTTCTTTGAGTGCATGCAAATGGCTGTTTTGCAGCGAGACCCAGAGGGCTAGCTGTTGTAGCACTTGTTAGTTGGAGGGTCGTGGCTGGGTCTGTGGAGTTGGGCATCCCCGGGTGAGTCTGGGATTCTGTGAACTGGAGTTTGCTGATTAACTGGAACCGGCTGGATGGGCCAGGATGATGTGAAGCAGAGCTTCTCTGCTGGGCTGGGGCGAGCTGGGGCGGGGGGTCATCCCGGCTGGACCTATCTGGATGGGGGGGTGTGCTGGGCCTTGCCAGTCTCATCTGTAGATGCCACCTTCTCTGCTGTCTTGCCACCTTACAGATGACGGGAAGCTGTCCTTGGAGGAATTCCAGCTCTTCTTCGCCGATGGCGTCCTCAACGAGAAGGAGCTGGAGGACCTCTTCCACACCATCGACTCCGACAACACCAAGTGAGCCCCGGCCCGGCCAGGGCGCGCACAGCCGTGTGCAGCAGCTGTCCCTTCTTGTCCTGAAGGCAGCCTCGTTTCCCAGGCCCCTGTGAGGCAGGGCCCCAAAACGCCCAACCGTGCTCATCCAAAAGTCAGATCCATGTGGCCTTCACTGCCCGGGCTGATGTGGGGAGTGGACAGGTCGATTCTGCATTGGCTACTGTCACAGAATTGGTCTTTTCTGAGCATCTTGGCCAAGCAAGGACAGACCCTCAGCTCTGCCTATACACGTGGACAGTGAGAACAGGCAGTTGGCAGTGATGTCACACATTTGTGACCCCACCCTAAGCCAAAGCCTCGTGCTTTCTCCAGCCCCGGCCTGGACCATGGTGTTGAGCTGCTTGCCTCGACTTGGACCCCAATCCAGCTCCAGCTTGGCCCCACTCCTCCCCCTGCAGCTAACTGAACCCCTCTCCCGCCTGCTCACGACCCGGGCTGCACCGTGCAGTGCGGCCAGGACACCTTGAGGAAGGCTGTCCCTGTCCTGCAGAGCTGGGACCCAGAGGCAGCAATGCCTGGGCTGGGGCCACCATTGGAAGTCAGATGAGTTTCCCTGGCAGCCTGTGACAGGGACCCACCCCCCCATCCCTGCCTCTCCCCACCCCCCGGCTGAGCCCTGCTCACTGCCCTCCATTACTTTGTGGTCTGTGGGCCTCAAGATGAGGACAGGCAGGCAGATGGCCCCCCACTGCTGCCCCCTCCCCTCTGGAGAACGGAGAGGGCATGGTGCGTGGTTCACAAATGGGGCAGCTGTGCACACGGGAGGGGCAAGGACGGGCTGCTGACTCTCTCTCTCCCCCCCTCTCCCCAGCCACGTGGACACCAAGGAGCTGTGTGGTAGGTGCCCAAGATGGGGTGCAGGGGGATGGGAAAGGGCCTGAAGGAGGGCGAGGCCGTGAGGGGCACGGTGGGCTTGGGAGGCCGGTGGGAGGGGCAGACTCCGGGTTACCCCGACCTTGCCCTCCCCCACCAGATTATTTTGTGGACCACATGGGAGACTATGAGGATGTCTTGGCGTCCTTGGAGACACTGAATCACTCTGTCCTGAAGGCCATGGGCTACACCAAGAAGGTCAGTTTTCCTGCTTGTGTGATGACTGGGCTGGGCTGGGCTGGGCTGGGGCTCCTGGAGGGAGCTCGGATAAACTGTGGAGCGAGCGGAGCAGCTTGGTGAACGGCCCTTTATGCTTGTTTAGGGCATGAGGCCCCTTCCCACCTAATCGGGATGGGCAGCAGCTGTGACACCCGTCCTTGAGCAGGTGCCACACCTGACAGACTCGTGCCTTTCCTTAGCAGGCCTACGAGACTGGAAGGGAGCACTGGGTTCATGCGTCGGCCCCGACCCCAGAATCGGTGGTCTTATGGGAGAGGCAGGGAGCCCCCGCCGAGCTGGGAACTGTGGGCCGTGGAGGGGCTGTGTCCTGGAGAGAGGGCCTGCCCACAGTCCTGCTGCCTCGTGTCCACCTCGGAGGGTGGGGACAGGGCAGTGGAGCCAGGCTGCAGGCTGGGTGCCACGAGCCTTCCCTGGGGCCTCTGTGCCTTCTCCCTGGAGCCCTGACGGTCACAGCACCCTCCACTGCCCCGGGCTTCCTTCTCCGCACCCACAGGGAAGAGCCCCAAAGCCGTCCTGAGGACCTGCGGAGGCTGGCGCGTGCTCAGGCCCCACACTCCACATCTCCTTTGGTCCTCAGGGCAGCCCCCGGGGTGGTCTTCACCTTCCATTTCATAGCTCTGGAAACGGGGCGCACAAAGGGAACCCAGCGGGGTCACAGCCACAGCTTCAGGGGACGAGGAGGGGAAACTGAGTCAGAGCCTGGCAAGACAGCGCACGGCAGGAGGGGAACCAGAGGGCTGTCGGCAGGGGTAGTGGCAGCCGTTTGGGCACACGAGTCCAGGCCCACCAAGAGGGAGCTGGAGAGGGCCCCAGGAGGACACCTGCAGGTAGCCGGGGCTACAGCCCACCCGAGCTCAGGGAGGCCATGCTGGCGGAGGCTGGGGAGCTGAGAGGACAGTGTCCAGCAGACCTGGCTGAAGGGCCCGAGCCAGTCACTTCCCTTCCTGAGCCTCATTTGCTCCCTCTGTGAAATGGGAGCTTCCGTCTCACCATCCTGGAGAGGACTGTGGCGGCCGCTTAGCACAGGACCTGCACCGAGCAGTGCGACTGGCAGTTTTCATCATCGGGCCCCTGTCGGATGCCCAGCGTGGTGAGCTGCTGCCCGGTCACTGCCTGGGCACACATACTCTCCTGGCCCACCGTGCCGCTGCTTGAGTCCTGCTGCTTTCGAGTGTATTTTAACACCGTCGTAGAGTGACGCCCTGTTCACGTTGGTCTTTGAGCACCTTCTATCCTGAAGCACTGTGAGGGCCCTGGGTCAGCAGGGATCCTGGGCCAGCTACAGATGGCCCATGGAAGGCTGCCACACGCCCCTGGGTGCTGTGCAGCAGGGACCCTCCATGGCCCCTCTCTCCTCCTCTGGGAGGGGGCTGCTCCCTGGCAGGGTTGGGTGGTGCTGCTATTGGCCCTGGTTCAGCCCCCAGCCAGGAGGGGGTCTACCGTCTCCTGTGCAGTGCAGGCCAGCCTGGCCACTGCCCCAGGAACTGTGCACCAGTCGCGGGTGGGGGCTGCTCTCTGTGGCCTTGGGTGGCTCCCAGGTCCTCGAGGTCCTCAAGGTGGTGACTGCCATTTCTTCACGCAGCCCATGGCTGTGCTCTGTTCTCATGTCCCCTGGCTGTAGCTGACCGTGTGCATCAGGCACCCCCCGGTCAGCAGCCCCACTTGCAGGTCCTGCTGCGCGTGCCCGTCACGCTGGTGTGTCGCGTTTCCTGGATTCTAAGACGCGGCGCTGACGCCCCCCAGCTGCCTGGTTGTGCTAGATTTTCAGTCTCCGCTCTAGGATTTTTCCACTAATTATGATATTAATGCCAGCTCTTATTTTAGAATCCGCTCCAGCCTGTTGGAGATGCGTCCGCCCGCCTTTATTAGGTGCTGTCCTAGGAGGGTAGCGAGTTCTCTCAAACGCCACTGTGGTGTTTTGTTTTTTTAACCATCAAATGATTTTGCTCGAGCTATGGATGGTGGGTTCTATTTTTAGACTCTTGTATTGAACAGTCTGTGCCTCCCTGTGATAAAGCCTCATGGGGACTTCGTTCTGTGGCCACTCTGCCCAGTCCTCAGCCCTGGCCCAGTGTTGCTCTCTCTCTCCTCCAGGGGCCTCAGGAGGGCCTTCTGGGTGACTTCTGTGCATGAGTCGGCTCCCCAAACTCGGGATCGTTCTCTACTCAAAAACAGAAGTCATCTGTGCTCTCGGGCTAAGGTGTTGCCAGAGGAGGGCGTGTTTTAGTAGGTACTTTAAGGCAAGCCCTGTTTTCGTTAATTTTTTTTTTAACTTTTTGTTTTCATTTTGGTATATTTTTAAACAACTGCCCTGGATGTGTTTGGTTTTATGATCAATTACACATGGTATGGTCTTTGGACTATTTTTTAAAAATCTAAAACACCGTTTGACACACAACAGATTCATTTAACGCAGAGTAAGAACGATCAAACATCTACTATTGCCGCTCAGATCTTATTTTAAATTGATACCATTTTCTACATCTTAAAATCTTACATATTGAGGGCTGGGGTTGTGGCTCAGCAGTAGAGCACTCGCCTAGCAGTGCGAGGCCCTGGGTTGATCCTCAGCACCACATAAAAATAAATAAAATAAAGGTATTGGGTTTGATTACAACTAAAAAAAATTTACATATATATTTATATAAAATTTTAATCGTATATATGACAGGCCTGATTGAACTAGTTGTTTCTAACAAACAGCCCATACTTTTATTTACGTTTCAAGATACGTTTTCTGATTTATGTGTCGTTGTTACAAGCTCCTTCCCCATTCCTGGGGTTTGCGGTTGTGGCTGTTTGGTATCCGCCCCCCGCCCCGTGTGAAACCGAATGCTTAGATGGTTTTGGTAACTCAGTTTGACCTTTGAGTGCTGTGTTCGGCCACCGTGGGTTTTGATGTGCCTTCTTTCTGTCCCACTGTTCTCTGATTAGTCTGCTGTTCTCATTCATTTTTCCTTTCATTGTTGTAATGAGATCGAGTGGACCATTCTTCGATGTGCGGAGGTTCTGAAGTGAATTTGCGGACGGTGCCAAACGGAGAGCTGTCAGTTACGCTCTGCCGGGCAGAACCCACCAGCGTGCCCGTGAGTGAGTGCTGCGTCGTTCCAAGTTCTCTGCATCTTGTGGAGTGATAAAAGCAGCTCCAAGACGGGATCACTTTTAGGTGGTCCCAAAAAGTGGACTAGACAAGACACACAGGGATCTTTTAGTCTGTTTCAGAGACTTGCAGACGCTGCCTGGTGAGGTCCTGCGCCTCCCTGACCACCGTGGTCCGGCTTCTCCTCCCTGTGGGGCGTGGAGGGCTCATTCCTCCACTGAGCTGTTGTCTCGTCACCTTTGTATCCAAACGTTTTTCCTTCTTGGTCTCAGCCAGGAGGTTTGAGGCGTGCTGACTTTCGTTACATTTTTATTGTGTAATGGTGGGTATTCAGCATGAAATTTTAGGATGTAGCGCTGACCTTTTAGATCACCCTGACCCCAGCAGCCCACCACGGTGAACACTGAAGGTTTTTACCTTTTCATACCTTTTTTCCACGTGCATTTCTTTAATGTTTTTAATATCATCCCATTAGAAAAGTTTATTTTCTGCTTCTCACCTAATATTTTGACAGTTCCCCCATGTCATTGAAAATGTTGAAAGCATGATTTTAAACCCTCCTATTTGGATTGGCTTGTGTTCCCTCTACTGTTGGCCGTACTAGGCTATTTCCAAGTTTTGGCTCTTAACCAGGTCCTGGGCGTGCGCGCGTGTTCACCGTTGCTCTCTCTAGTGTGGGTCATCGTAATCGAGGCATCGTGATCAGCTGCTGTGTCACACAGCTGTGACACCTGTGGCAGTTCCTGCCGCCCGCCATGGGGATCTAACTGTGGCGCCTCCTGGCCTCACCTGCGTGGCACTTTCTCACTGAGGCGCTAGCTGTGCGGTGACATTGATCCAGTGCTCTGTGCAGAAGCTCTGTGCAGCTCTCGATAGCCCCTTGTGCTCTGGGGACGGTGCGCCCTGGCAGATCACCGGATCACCAACCGGAGCTGCGTTTCTCTTGGGGATGCGGCCGCCTGTCTCCTGGCAGACGTTCTGTCCTGGCTGCTGCCGTGGTCTCCTGTTCTCCCGGTTTTTTAACCCTTCCTCATTTCTCCTACGTTTTTCTTTTTTTTTTATTAGTTGTTCAAAACATTACAAAGCTCTTGACACATCATATTTCATACATTTGATTCAAGTGGGTTATGAACTCCCATTTTTACCCTGTATACAGATTGCAGAATCACATGGGTTACACATCCACATTTTTACATACTGCCACACTAGTGTCTGTTGTATTCTGCTGCCTTTCCTATCCCCTACTATGCCCCCTCCCCTCCCCTCCCCTCCCTTCCCATACGTACTTCCTCTTGATGGTCTGCTGCTCTTTGATCAGGATTGAGAAGTTAAAAATCCTCATTGTCGTTTTACTAGTGATGTTTTTATTTTTATTTATTTTTTTTTAAAGGGGGGAGAGAGAGTGAGTTTTTTTTTTTTAATATTTATTTTTCAGTTCTCGGCAGACACAACATCTTTGTTTGTATGTGGTGCTGAGGATCGAACCCGGGCCACACGCATGGCAGGCGAGCGCGCTACCGCTTGAGCCACATCCCCAGCCCCAAACTAGTGATGTTTTTAAAGCACTAGACACCCTCAAACGCATTTTTATACTTGGCTAATACAAAATCCTTTCTGTTCCTTTTGGGAATGAAGGAATTTCTGAGATTTGGGCTGTTTTTTTAATGGTCTACTGACTTGATGCAGGGTCACTGGAGTTAGACTGTCCGGTTCACTTAGGGCCCCGTAACCTGAAGGCTTGAGCTGCGTGGTCGCGGGTCCTGTGGGCACCGCTTCCCCGGGCCGAGCTTCAAGCCTCAGGGGAAGATGCTCATCTGGTGAAAGTCACAGATTCGCAGGTTGCTGGATATCCCCCGTCTTCCTGCATGTGAGTGACCGTCGGTGGGTGTGGAATTCGAGCTCTCCCTCTCCCCCTGCCAACTGCAGAGCTGGTCTCTTGGCTGAGGCCGCGATTGTGGCGGAGGAGGGATCTGGAAAGCTTCCTCTGCGCCCTGGAAGACGGCTTCGCAGGCCAGGCCATTATTGACCCGTCCCTGTCCCCGTCCTCGGCCAGTTTCCGGCTGTGCCCCTCTCCAGCAGCCTCTTCCTATGTGTTCCATTTTTTTTTTCTACCAAGTTCAGTCGTCTTGTTCATTTGTCCAGAGTCCAGCGGTCACTGGGCTGTGTGTGGCCTCAGCTGTTCGCTAGGAAGAAGAATCCATCAATGTGGTGCGCCCAGCCGCCAGGACCCGCCACGTGGGCGTGGGACAGGATTCCTTCTCCCCCGGGGCCGGTCCCCCGCAGCCCTGGCCGGGTGTTGACCCAGGACATTCCCGTCAGAGTCTTACCTGCCTCCCTCCTCGGCCTCTGTCTCTCCGCCATGTCTCCACTGTTCAGTTATTGCTAATTAATTCCCAGTCAGAGTGATGGATGGTTTAATTTGCTTTCCTTGGGAGCCCTGTTTTCCCTTGCCAGGGACTGGGCAGGATTCCAAAGTGCTGGAGCGGGTGGCCCTGGCAGGCGGGACCTCGGGGGGAGGCTGGGGAACACAGGGTTTGAGCAGTGGCCTGGTGAGCCGAGTCTTGCCATCTCCTGGGCAGCCTTTTGCAGCCAAAAGAATCTCAGTGATGAGAAGAGTCGGGGCCTGGGTCTCGGTACAGGGGGATGGAGCTTCACCTGGTCCTGGTCCTCGGCCTCCTGAGCTGCTCCCTCTCCCCGCCCCCCGCTGGGCTCTGCTCCCCCACTCCTTCTGAGCATGAGCCTCGCTCTTTCTTTGGGGAGCCCACTGTAACCCTCTGGCTGCATTTGAGTTTCTTCTGTTATTTCTCTTTAGCAACATGATACTCAAGAGCCCGAAGAATTCTCCTTGGAGGAGGGAAGAGGGAGCCAAATGATGACAAGTTCTTCCCTAATGCTCTGTGACGGCAACATAAACACCACTGCTGATCAGTGTCGTGCCACTGACCCCGGGCACCAGCCATATCATGATCATTTCCTCCTCCACCACCACCACCATCATCATCATCACCATGATCATCATCACCACCACCACCATCACCATCACCATGATCATCACCATCACCATGATCATCATCACCATGATCATCACCATCACCATGATCATCATCACCATCATCATCACCACCACCACCCTAACTGTCATTATCATCACCATCACCATGATCATCATCCCACCATCATCATCACCATCACCATGATCATCACCATCACCATGATCATCACCATGATCATCATCCCACCACCATCACTGTCATTATCACCATCATCATCACCATCACCATGATCATCATCATCCCACCACCATCACTGTCATTATCATCACCATCACTGTCATTATCATCACCATCATCATCACCTTCACCATCACCATGATCATTACCATGATCATCACCATCACCATGATCATTACCATGATCATTACCATGATCATCACCATCACCATGATCATTACCATGATCATCACCATCATCATCACCATCACCATGACCATCACCATGACCATCACCATGACCATGATCATCACCATCATCACCAACATCACCATCATCACCATGATCATCATCACCATGATCATCATCACCATGATCATCATCACCACCATCATTATCACCACCACCACTACCATCACTGTCATCATCACCATCACCACCATCAACATCACACCATCACCTTTATCATTCCAGCTGGTTATTATTTGCTGTGACAGGTACTGGGCTGAGCATTTTATGTAGATGTGGTCATTGAATCCCCATTACAACTTTGTAAGATAGAGTACAGTGGCCCTGTTAGGCTCCAGTAGGCCGCAAGCTGGTAAGTGGTAAAACCTGGGTTTGGACCTTGATGCCCGAGTTCATGCCCTGTCTTGAGTACTCTACAGCCTCCAAGATGCAGAAGCAGTAGAGTATCCCCTTCCCCCTGCAAAGCAAGGACACTGACCCCAGGTGCCTCACATCTCCATGTTCTGTCCCCACCCCTTCTCCTCCATGTCCCTTCCCTTACCTCCACAGGTGTATGAGGGCGGGAGCAACGTGGATCAGTTTGTGACCCGCTTCCTCCTGAAGGAGACGGCCAATCAGATCCAGTCTCTGCTGAGCTCTGTGGAGAGTGCGGTGGAAGCCATCGAAGAACAGACTAGCCAGATCCGGTGCGTGGACGGGACCCTGCAGGGTCACTTGGGGTGTGCCGTGTGCACAGGCCAGCCTGCTGCACTGGGCAAGCTGCTCCTCTGGGCCTCCGTGTCTTGGGCTGCAGCACGGGAGGATTATGTACCTAGCTGCTTCTCCGTCACCGTGAGGAGCGGGTGAGGTGGGCTGCGCCGGATGCACGCCTGGTGTGCACATGCAGGGCCTGCACAGGACAGTTAAGGTGCCACTGGAGACCCTCAGGCTCGCTGCACCCGCCTGACACTCACTGTTGGTGCAGAGTGACCCTGTTGTCTGGCCCACTTTTTATGGTTAAGAGCGTCCCTTGCCATGGATGAAGTAGCGAGATAAGCCATGCTCTTGCTGGACTCCAGCCTCCTCGCCCACAGAGAGACTGGGCCATCTGCGGGAGGCACTGAAGAGGGGGTAGAAGCAAATTGAGGCTCTCCCGGGAGAACCGAAAGAGAAGTGAAAGTGGGTGGTCTTGTCACAGTGTCACTCAGTGTTCAGTAAGGACTTGTTCCTGCCTGGGGTCCTCTCATGGTGCCAGGTGGAGACTGTGTGTCTGGTTCCTGGAGAGGGGCACTTTTCTCCTTCAAACAACAGTGCCAGTCCCGGGTCACCAGTCCCCCGTGTGCTGCCCCGGGTTGAGGCAAACTCTCCTACCCAGTTCTGCCCAGGGCAGCTGATGTGCCAGTGCAGTGGGGAAACAAAATCCACAGCTGCCGGGCCGCCCCGCTCTAGAGAGCTTGGAATTTCTACAGCCTCGGGCACAGTGCAGCGGGGACACGGGCTTGCCCTGGGCTGGGAGTTTGGGGTGTGTCCCGGCTGGCACGGAGCTGCCTCAATCAGATGTGATCACAAAGGTGCTGACTGTGCCCAGCACCTGGGAAACCTAGGGTGCAGAGCCCTGGGCACGGGCGCTGGTGGGAATGCCCGCGTGGAGGCAGAGCTCCGTGTCTGTAGCCAGTCTTGATCTGAGAGCGGGTCGCCACTCTGGAAGCTGAGCCTGGCTCTCCAGTGCTGTGTGTTGTTTTCCTGTCCTGATCAGGACCTGCCGTTTTCATCCGCTGTGGCACACGGGTCCTCCTGTGGTTCTCACAGATGGCCGCCTGCACCCGACCTGCTTTCCCATGTCGGTGGCTACACCGGCCCGCCCCCCCGCCCTGGGTCCCTGGGTCCCTGGGAGCAGCCTGTTTCCCCACCCGAGCAGCTCCTCAGGGTGTTGTGTTCCAGGCACAAGCCTCGGGTTCAAACCCCGCAGCAGGGGCTTCCCACTCAGCCCTTCATGGTCTAAGGGACACATTTAATTTGCTGCTGCTTTGTAGAGCTACCGTGATTGACACCTCAGAGCCTTTCCCACTCCCTGGGGAGCCAGGTTTGCTCCATCCACACAGGAGAGCCGTGCTGAGCGGTCAGGGTTCACAGGAGACGGATTCCAGAGTGAACCAAGGCAGCGATGCTCATGCTCGGTGACGGGGTGTCGCTGCGGCAGGTGCTGGCGGGTGTGTGCGCTCCATCCCTGGCCTCTGTTTCCCAGCAGCCTTGTGCATGAGGAGTTGTTTGTTTACCAGGCGTTTTTCAAAGTCCCTGCCATGCACAGTGCCTGTTGAGCCGTGTGCAGGCAGCCAGCTGGGCCCCAGGTCAGTGTGCATGGGGGAGGGGTGCAGGGGCGGGAGAGGCTAGGATCCCAGTTCCGTCCTGCCGTGTCCCCACTCTCCATGTCTTTTAGGACGCCCGTTTTGGGAGTCTTGTAGTGCCAGCCCAGATCCCCCATACCAGGAGGCACGTAACCCTGACTGGCAGTGGGGCAGGGAGGGGGACTTGGTATCCGCACAGCCTGGGCCCAGCAGGTGCCTGGGGATGCTGTGAGCTACTGGGCAGGAGGTGGGCATCTGCCCCAGCCTTGCCCAGCCAGGTTCCGGCCCTGGCTTGACCAGCTAGCCTTGGCCAAGTCACCTGCTTTGTGGGCACTGTTTCCACCTCTTTCAAAACGAAGACAAGTCGCCCACTCCAGGGGACAGGAGTCCGCAGGTGCACTCTGGGCACACTGCAGCCACAGTTGGTGCTTGATAAGTGCCTGTTGAAGCTGCTGAATGTGTCCAGGGTCCTGCGGCTGTCATCACTGTCTGTTTCCCCACTTACACTGCAGACAGAACCACAGCAAGCCCGACCACGGGGGCATGGGCACCTGGTATGGAAGCCCCTCTCCTCCCCATGCCCCCAACCACAAGCTCATGGCTGTGGAGCCAGGGAAGAGCCTGCCATCTGGTGAGAGAGAGCTGTGGCCCTGGGGGGGAAGGGGCCTGCCTGGGAGCCTCAGGATTCTGAGTGCCCAGGTGGGGCCTGGGGAGGGCTGGGTGCTACTACCCCAGGCCTGGCCCTGCTTACCATCACGGTCTGTGCTTCTCTCAGTCACTGGGGACCCAAAGGAGGAGGGTCTAGAAGCCCAGATCAGCCGGCTGGCAGAATTGATTGGGAGGCTGGAGAACAAGGTAAGCCCAGCCCCGCCTCTGCCTGACACCCCTTTCTCCCCAGTGGCCCCCACATGCACACACAGAGCAGATTGGAGATCAGGGCAGGAGTCGGGGAGCCATGGGACGGGTTCCCCCAGGTGAGGCATGGGGGTGGAGAGCAGACTAAGGATGGGCCCTGGCCTTGAGGACTGGGCAGGCACCCCAGGAGCAGAGTGGCCAGTGGGGTCCCGTGCTGCCAGGGGACATCACGGCAAAGAGGGCTCTGCACTGAGGTAGCAGTGGCCTGAGCAGGTGGAGCCACACAGTGGCATCATGGTGCGTGAGATCCAGGACAGTCAGCCCCAAGGGACTGGTCACCAGTAGGAGATGGACTGAGCACAGCGTGGCACACCCACAGGTGGGGGAATGGCACAAGGACACAGCCTTTACAGGGTGGCTTGTGATCAGTGGAGTCCCCCATGTGCCTTGGGGCTCAGGTGGCTCAGGGATCATCTGTGGCGTTGAATTCTGGCTGTGCCACTCACCGGGTGCTGCTAGGATTAGGTAAAATGATGTCTTGATGGCTGACCTCAGAGCCAGGCTCCCAGTTAGCACTTACAGTTAGCAGGGTCAGCAATTATTGTCACCAAAAGGCTCCAGGTACACATCCAGCTACGGGATCTCCGCTAAGGGTGTGTCAGCACTCTAGGATGGAGGTGACATCGCTTCTACTTTTCTGTATTTTTTCACATCTTTTTCAAAGGACACTAGGACTTCGGTGGGCTTGGGGTTGGGGAGGGATTCACGGGGGCAGAGTCAAGCGGCTTCCCACCCGAGGGAGGCAGAGGCAGAGCTGGAGGGAGGAGGCTGGCATCCCGTCGTTGTCGCAGGGCTGAGGCCGAAGCGGGATCCCGCCCCCCTCACAGCCAGCTGCCGGGGTAGGAGCGGCTAGGGGACCCTGGGCCCGTTGTCATAACAACTCCGCGGGGGCCTCGGGAGGGAGGCTCTTTGAAGCTTATTTTTAGCGCTCGGTCGGTCGCTCGAACAACGCGGCTGGCTGGTAACCATGGAGCACCTGGGCGTCCTGGGGAAGGGCGGGGCCTCCTCCCCTCCCCGTCTCTGGTTGGCCCAGGCCGTGAGCAGGGGCCAATCCGGGCCCGGCTCCAGGCCCCGCCCCCGCGGGCCCACCTGAGCCGGCTCTGCCTAGCCGGCCCGGGAGGGTGAAGGCTCTGGGGCGGCAGATTTGGAAGCCAGAGGGAGCCACTTGGGGCCCCTGACCTCCAGGAGCCCACAAGCATGGTTATAAACCCAGAAACAGGCTTGTCCCTGCTGGGCCCTCCCTCGCCACTTGGAAAGCACTTTCTCTGAAAGCATGACCTGGAGAAGTCAGGGCTCTCCGGCTGGCTGTGTGATGTGTGGAACCGCGAACGTGCAAAGGCCCCGCGGTGGAAACACTAAGAATTGTAAAGTGGGTCACGCTGCCTGCTTCCCCGCCAGCGGTTTCCCTTAACAACAGATGCGCTTCCTACATGCATGCCCTTGCGTGTGTGCATGCATGTGTGCACACGTGGTCCTGTGACAGTGGCAGTCTGTTTTCACGGAGGAAGGATAGCCAGGAGCAGCCCTGACTGGGGTGCCCAGGCTAAAGGAGGAAGAAGTGTGGCTCTCGTATCAGGTGGAGAAAGACCAAGACGCTGAGAACCTGCTTTTGTGACTTCAGTGCCCAGGGCTGAGCATCTGTGAGTGGGCCCTGTGGGCCCCAGGCAGAGGAGGTGACAGGCTCCCTCTGCAGCTCTCCTGGAGCCTGCGGGGGCAGCCCTCCTGGGGAGTCGGGGAAGTTAAGCACATGTCTCAGGAATCCCTTGGTTTAGGGCTGTTGGAGGGCCGCCCCCTGCAGACCATTAGACTCCTAGGCTCCAGAGGTTAAGACGGGGTGACTCCCAGGTCGGCAGCGGTGACAGGGAAAACGGCGTCCTAGACCAGTGCTGCCTCTCCTGAGGCCTCCCACCAAGGCCAGCGCTCCTGGCCTGCCTCCCGGTGCCCCCAGGGGACAGAAGGATTCTCTGCCACTTCCGATGGTGGGTCTCCAGCCCTGCTCCAGGGGCCCGCTGAGGTAGCTCTGTGCATGGACCACAACCAGCCCTGCCCAGCAAGGCCTGGCCCAGGAGTGCCCATCAGCCTCGGGGATGTGGGCAGTGGGGCGGGGCCCTGTGTGCTCCGGTGTCGTCATGGTCCTGGAGGCCGCTCTGGTCAAGGTGGCCTCTCAGGCCTCACGTGTGCTTCGTGGTTTCAGACACTGTGGTTTGACCTGCAGCAGCGCCTCTCGGATGAAGAAGGCTCCAATAGGGTGAGGCCCTTCCCTGAGCCCCTGCCACCCTCCCCTGCCCAAGCCAGGACCCTCAAGATCCATCACCCCTCCTGCCTGGGACCAAGATGGGCAGGAGCAGTCCCAGCAGTGGGCTGCAGGACCCTCCAGCCACCCTCCCTGGGCTGAGCTCAAGACTTTGATAAAGGGGTGTGGCCGGGAGCCAGGTGGTCGGCAGACTCCTGGCTGTGTCTGGGGACCCGTGCCCCAGGCAGCCTCCTTACCCCCTGGCCCTGGGGCTGCTCTCTGCATTGGGACTTAGCTGCTCCAGCCAGTTTTCATACATTTGAACAAAAACTGCAGGGGTGGGAGGGGCTGTTGCCTCGGAGGGGAGGGCCGGGCTGGGCCAGGCAGAGAGGTCCTGGCTGGGAGCCCAGGGGAGGAGGCCAGGCTCAGTGCTCTGTCCTGGCAGCACCTGCAGCTTGTCCGGCAGGAGATGGCCGTGTGCCCCGAGCAGCTGAGCGAGTTCCTGGACTCCCTGCGACAGTACTTGCGGGGCACCGCTGGAGTGGGGGGCTGCTTCCAGTGAGTGAGCCTGGCGTGGCCTGGGGCGGACGGTGGCAGGGAGCCCTGCCAGGCGGTGGAGGGAGGGGACGGGGCCATCCCTGCAGATGTAGCAGATAACTTCTGCTCACTCATCTGTAAAGGGAGCTGCTGGCCGTGTCACTAGAGGGTGTCCAAGTAGGTCAAGGAGATGGGGACCTCAATGCAGGACGATAGGGTCCTTGTACATTGTAGAAAAGAACTCCACAGTGTCCAACAAAACAGATTTATTCAAGAAAGTAAGACACACCCCTGAAAGGACAGGCACCGAGAGTGAGATGGGATGACAGTCTGCTGGTCACGAGATGGCTCCTGGTGGACTGTCCCTTCCGGGATCTTGCTCTCCAGTATCTGGTCCACAGATGGCCTGGTTTGGAATGTGCCTGGTTACAGGTTTCTTAAGATCTCCTATCTCCCTGTGCTTCATCGGTGCTGAAGGTAGACTGCACAGGGCAGTTCTGATAGTGACTTTCCAGTAACTGTAAGATTGTGACGACTTGGAGGTTTCCCAGAAAGTTGGGGGGGGGGGAAACCAGCTGGGGAAGGAAGGGGTGAGGCCCGAGGGTGAGGGTGGTCTCCCTTTCCTTCCTGACCTTGTCTGTCTTAGCTTTGCCCCAGCAGACCCCAGCCCTGGCCCACTGGGAGTGAACGCGGCCCGAGGGCAGGAAGGGCTGAGCCAGGCCAGTGCCCCTCAGCTGGGTTGCTGCGGTGCAGTAGCCCGGGCCAGAGAGGGCCGCAGGGGAGACCCGAGGGAAACGGCAGCCGCCTCCTCCCCGCTCTGCCCAGTGTGCGCTGACCTTCCAGGAGGGTCTCCGAGGTGGGGACGCTGGCCCACAGCAACTACCTCCAGACACTGGGCAGCCCTGCCCCTCTGGCCTGTTCTGCCCCTGAGCCGGCGGGTGTGGCCAAGGGCCTGTGCCCTTGCTGTGGTGGTCTGGAAGGTCCAGGCACGTGCCCTAGGCTCCCCATCTGTCTCCAGGGCCAGCCCTCAGGCCCTGCCTCTGGGTGCTGCCCGGCTTCCCTCTCCAGGGCTAGCCCTGAGCTCCCTTCCTCTGCCCTCCACCTCCTTGAGGGTCTGCTGGACCCTGGGGGCCCCGCTGCAGCCAGGCAGGTGGCTGTTCGGTTTTTCCTTGGTGGGAGAAGACGAAGGTGATGTGAGTCAGCAACCGAGGTCTCAGGGGCTCTGAAGGGAGTGACCCCTCCTGTGCAGGCTGAGGGGCAGGACCCGTCTCTATGGACACAGTACGTAGGCAGGAGCGGGCTCCGCCCCTTCTCTGCCCTCTGAAGACAGGCTGGGGGCAGGAGGGGCCAGAACCAGGGGGGTTTGGGGGTGGGAGGAGGGGGTACAGTGGGCTCCCAGCTCCTCTGGCTTCAGAGACTCCAGGGAGGATGGGTCTCTCCAAGCAGGAGTAGGGGGGAGGACGCAGGTGTGTGGGTGGAGGGGTCCTGAAGGCCGCAGGGACCCCTGTTAGATCCCTGGTGCTACAGCGGGGCCGGCCATGGCACCCAGAGCCTTGTGCATGCCAGGCAAGTGCTCTTGCAGACGGTCTTCACCATAGGAGCAGGAGGATTCTGGCCATCCTCCAGGGGTGTCCCTGGCCCTCAGCCCTTGGGGCCCCTTTACCTCCACTTTGGTCCCCAGTCCCTCTGGCGGGGTGGCACTGTGGGGTGCCTCCCCTGGGTGCACACAAGAGGCTTTTCCCACCTCTGTGGGACACGTGTCCTCCCTGTGGCTGGAGTGGGCCAGAGGCATTGTCCCCCCCCACCACAAGTGTGGGCGCCCAACATCTGCCACCCACACCCCGTGATGGTGGCACTCAGTAACACTCAGCCGAGCCCGGCCCCTGGAGCTGACCTGCCTGTGGCTGGGAGAGGGCCCAGGGCTAGGGCTAGGGCTGGTCCCGGGCAGCATCCCGCTCCCTCCATGCATGGAGCTGCGTGCCCCGGGCTCCACGTGTCACTGGAGCATAATGAACTACGGACAGATTAGCAGCCTGTCGGGTGAAGCCAGCCTGGCCCTGCCTGTGAGCCCCCACAGACGTTCACCTTTGCAGAAGTCCCCTCCCCCGGGGCTGGGCTCACTACTGCCAAGTGGGGTGAAAGAGGAGAGGGGAGGGCGAGGGACCAGGACAGTACCAGATGCTGTGACCTTGAGGAGCCATCCAGCCCATCAGCCTGGCCTTCCGGAGGCCCCACAGCCATGTAGGATCTCCCCCATTTGCACGGGGGAGAGTGATGGCCAGGTCCCCCAGGGGGCCCGCCTGGCCTGCAGGGTGTGTAGCCCAGGGTGGGGCTGCTGGCTGGCCTCCAGGACTGTCACTGGGACGGAGCTTGTGGGAGCAGCAGAGGGTCCGGGGCGGGCTTGAGCGAGTGCCCAGGCCTGCAGCCTCCCCCTAGACTCCGCCAGCCACCACGGGCCCTGCAACATCATGGGACCGTAGTGCAAGGACCAGCTCCAGTGGGGGCCACAGGCTGTCCTTCCTGGGCACATCCCTCAGGTTGCTCCAAGCCTGGCTCTGAGGTCAGCCTGTCCAAGCCCGCCGGAGGGCAGCTGGGGGAAGATGTAAAGGTGGCCATGGCGTGTCTGGGTAGTGGGGTCAGGGCCAGTCCCTGCTCGCCGCAGGCTCCTGCCTCTCTCCCCCACAGCATTGCCGCTGTGAGGTTGTTGGACGGCTTCACCTTCGTCATCTATGAGTTCTGGGAGACAGAGGAGGCGTGGAAGAGGTGGGTACCGCCGTGTCCCTGGGTGCTGGGGCTGGTGAGGTGGGCTGGCTGGTTCCGTGGCGGAGTGACTTTGGAGGGCCATGGAGAGCACTGTGCCCAGGTTCTCCCAGCATGAGCGCCAGCCCGGGTCCTGGACAGGTGGCGGTTGCTCAGGTGTAGGGAGCCTCCCCCACGCAGCAGGCTCCTGAGCACGCGTTCCAGGCAGACCAGCTCTGCCCAGCGCCTGGGGCTCCCCTGCGGGTGGGTGCAGAGTCCCTTGTGCCCCTGATCCCGCACCCTCCTCGGGGAAGCCCTCCGGCTCTCCTTAGTCCTCCTCCCTGTAGCCCTGTTGAGGACTGAGCTGCTCCCATTGGACAGCTCCTAGCGTCAGAGCCCAACTCGGCGCAGGGAGCAGTGCAGGTGCGGTCAGCTGCTCCCTCCCTGCGCCTGGCCACCCACCACGTGCTTCGTGGCAGGCAGTGGCAGGTTGGGGGTTCCAGCTGTGGCTGGCACCTGCTCAGAGCACGTCTGGGCCAACTTGCTGCCCTCCCTGGGTGACAATGGGGAAATCCAACACCGTCCTGAGGTTTCTGACTCGCCAGATGCTACCAGGTCCCTCCAGAACTCAGCCCAGCAGGAAGGACAGGTGGGGGTGGCTTTGCGCCCCTGTCCTTCCTCCCTGGCACTGAGGGACGATTAGACTAAGGACCTAGGGATGCTGCAGTAGCAGAGTGACCACAGGGAGGACGATGGGCTCCTCTGGGGCCAGGGCCTGAGTCCTGGTCAGCCTCAATGGTGTTGTCTGTACAGGTGGATGTCAGTCCTACCTGACCCCTGGGGTGACCTTGGAGGTGGAGGGTCCTTGTTTCCAGGCAGGCAGGCCCCACCAGGCCTGGGGGCATGGGCCTTGCTCTAGCTGGCACCCAGCCTCCTGCTCTGCCCAGGAGCCTCAGAGGTCCCATCCCAGACAGAGCTGAGCTCAGGGGTGGCCCACGCCGTCCTGACTACCCTGCTCCCTGGTCGCAGGCACCTGCAGAGCCCCGTGTGCAAGGCATTCCGGCACGTCAAGGTGGACACACTGCGCCAGCCCGAGGCCCTCTCCCGGATCTCAGTGCCAGGTAGAGGGATGAGGGCCAGCACTGGGGAGGGCTGCCCAGCTCCCGAGTTCCAGCAGAGCAAGCCTGAGGGCAGCCCGCCGGGTGGCGCCAGCTGAGGAGGCCCCAGGCCTGCACTGACTCTCCGCCACCTCCCTACCGGGAGCAGAGCCCGATGCCCAGTCTCGACAGCCACGCTGGCATAGGGCTCAGGAGAGGCCCAGGCCCACACCCCACCAGCCACAGAACAGGGGGCCGGGCCGGGCCAGGCCAGGACTCAGAGCGGGCGGAGCTGGCCCTCTGCAGCCCTGGGCCAGCGCAAGTGAGGCACATGCCCGAGGGGCCTGGTGGAGAAGCAGCTGTGGCCCAAGGTGGGGGGCGCTCGGCCTGCCCCCTCTTCTCCTGCCAGCCGCCCCCTCCTCAGAACACAAGGGAAGGGGCTGCGTGCTCACCACCCCACTGACTCTCTCCTCCCGCCTCTAGCCGCTTGGTGCACCGTGGGCCGAGACTGACCACCGCCGAAGCTGTGGAGGCAGCACCCCTCTTGTCAAGGACCCCCCTTTTCTAGAAACTTTGGTACAGTCTTTTCAATATACTTCTAAACAAGAATGTATTTCCTCTGCGGTTTGGAGTGAAAGAGGACCCCTGTCCCCACCCGAGCTGGCAGAGCTCTGTGCTCTGGGGTCCCCCTGAGGCTCCTGGGCTGGCATCCCCACCGAGCCCTCCTGCCCCCCAGGTGGCCTCGCCAGGCCAGCCCTGGCTCAGCAGGGCTTGCCCACAGCCACTTCTCACCCCCTCCTGACGTCCCCTCCCTGGTAGGAGCCGTGGCCCTGTAGTGCCCAACCTAGGCCAAGCCCAGAAGTGGCAGTAGTGCCCATGTACCAGTGCCACCTTAGGCACCAAATAAACCCTAGCTAGGAACAGCTGTGTGTTGTGCTTCTGTGTCCCCTTTCCCCTGAGTGACAGCTGGCCGCCAGGATGGCCCCGGGTTTGCCGCAGACCTTAACCAAGACGCCTGGCCTCGAGGTCCTGTCTGCAGTGTGGAGGGGGTGACCGCTCTGTGGGGAGGCATGTGACACATACGCTCCTGCCTGTGAGCTCTTCTGGGTCCCAGGACCATCCTCAGCTCCAGGAGCTCAGCCAAGGGACTCGGGGAAGCTGCTGGGGTCACTTATGGTTTAGGGCAGCACAGGGACCCTCCGAGTCAGCAGAGCCAGCCCAGGTGGCAGTAGTGGTGTCAGCCCTGCCCCGCCCCAGGGACCCCACCTTGAGTCCTTAGCATGGACACCAGGTGGCCCAGGTAAAGAAAGACTTCAGGATACCCCCAGGGGCGTAGAGCTGGCCTTGTGGGGGGCAAGGCCAGGGCTGCCCAGAGCTTGGGGTGCGGCTGCTGTCTGGGAAGGCAGCCCCGTGCTGGCCTTGAGGTCCTGTTCTGGAAGCTCTGTCCTGGTTAGAGGACAGTCTCACAGAAGGCTCAAGGGACAAGAAAGAGGTGAGGCCAGCAGGGCTCCTGCAGGGCAGGGAGGCTGGGGAGCAGCAGGCAGCAGGCCATGGCCCAGGAAGCAGACCCACGGACCCGCCTCTTCCTACGCCTGCCCATACCACCTGCCCAGCCCTCCCCTTGGCTCCCCACACAACCAGAACAGCAGGCATTCGGGACAGTGGGGTGGGCTTGAGGCCTGCTGTCCCTGAGGTGCACCCTGGCGCCAGTCCCCAGCCTGTGCCCTCCTCCTGCAGGGCAGGGACCTGCAGCGGCACCCAGAGGGGGCCACTGTACCCTTAGGACTCAGCGCCAAGTCTCTCCAGGCATAACAGGGGCACCCTGCACCCCCCTCCTGGGCTGCTGGCAGCCCCCTCACAGGCAGGGTGGGTGGGATCAGGCTCTGAAGAGAACACATTTCAACCCTAAAAGGCATAAGAGCTCCACTTGACTGACACTTCAGAGCCACGCACAGAATCAAGCACTTGGCACCATCTCCCTCATGCTCACAGCACCATCCTGGGCAGGGAAACGAAGACACAGAGAGGACGAGTAATTTGCCAGAGGTCACACAGCAAACTAATAGCTCAGGTGGACTCTAACCGAGAGCCACCTACCCACAACCCTGTGTCCAACTACCATGCACTCCATGGTGGGGGGCGGGGGAAGACCCTTAATGTCCGAATCAGTTTCCTCAAAAAGTTAAAGGCAGAATTACCCTATGACCCAGCCATTCTATTTCTGGATACACACTATACCCACAAGAATTTTTAAAAGGCATTCAAACACGTATCTGCACCAGTATTCACGGCGGCACTGGCCACAGCAGCCAAAAGGGGGAGACAACACAAATACCCACGGACCAGCAGCAGGTCCAGAACACGCCGCAGCCAGCGGGCCCTGTGCGGCCCCAGGCTGCGCAGCCAGAGTCGCCAGCCACGGGCAGGGTGCTCTGGGGTGGGTGCAAGGTGGTCCGGCCAGATGGCTGCACCTGCACTGGACACGTACCCACCTTCCCTGCCGTTATTCCCGGAACATCACGCTAACCGCTGCCTACACACCCACGATGCCTCGGGGCCACATCGTCCAGAGGCCACCTGCAGTGTGCCCGGGGGAGCCCAGGGGCAGCTCCGTGGTGGAGCACCTGCCTAGCAGGTGCGGGGCCCTGGGCTCCCTCCGCAGCACAAATGAAATACCCAGAGGACGCGCCTCGTCACAGACGCACACACCACTCTGGGCAGGACACTCGGTGCCAGAGTGCCTGGTGTCTGGGGCCCTGGAACCCTGGCCAAGTCGCCAGGTGGTACCGAGGGAGGACTGCACCGAGTCATAAGGGAGTACGGCGCTGACGAGGTCACAGCAAGGATGCTCTGCAGAACCGCAAGGGAGGCCACCCCGCATCTCCTTCCCACCAGCACCAGGACCTGCAAACCCCGGGGCGGGAGGCAGTGCTAGGACCCACAAACCCCGCCCAGGGCTGGAACCGCAAGCCCGGGGCGACTGTGGTCGTGGGCTGGGGAGGGGTGGCACCGGACACAACCGAAGCCCGGGATCGTCACCACGAAGCTGTCAATCATGATACAGGAATTTCACAGTCCCCACCGACTCACCTGCACAGAGCTCCCCGATGCACCCTTGAGGGCCCTGCTCCACCCCAGACTGTCCGTGGGAGGCCTCAGAGGTGGCCCTGTGGCACAGGGCCTTTTGTGTGACCCTGAGCTCGTGGACAGGTTTCCCCAGGTGCTCAGCGCCCTTGCAGCCACCATGCTCAGAGCAGGGTGAGGCCCTTGGTATACATGTGTCACGTGGTCTCTTGGAAGAGGTGGCTTTAGGCACCTGCATCTCTACACCCAAGCAGTTGTCACCGGTGACCCAGGTCAGCCTGGATCCTGCAGGCTCAGCCCCACCCACGCCCTCCTCGGCCCTCTGCCTCCCTGTCCCACACAGACCTCAAGGCGCCACTTGGCATTTGAGCAGGACAATCCAAAAGACTGTCAGCATTTTCCTCCCCAGGTCAGACAGCCAGGGGGCCTCCTTCTGCTGGCAGGCCGCTGTCCCTGTGCTGGGATGCCAACGTGTGGCTCACATCTGAACCTGCCACAGAACTGGCTGGAAACCTTGGTCCTGGTGGCAATGCGGTCACCCCTAAAGCCCTTGCCCTCTCCTCCTCTTACCTTTAATGCCCGTCCACTCCCTCCTGTGTCGCTCTGCTGGGGGAGCTCTCGAATCCTCCCATTTCCCTTTTCCCATAACTGCTAGGAAACTCAGTGTCCTCTGCCAACCTTGGTGTTTTCTGGAAACGCAGCTGCCTTTCTTGGTGAGAGACACCCTAGCAGCTGTAGGTGCAGCCCCACCCTCGAGCTTCACAGTGAAAACACAGGAACAGGAGCCAGCTCCACTGGGCCAGGATGAAAGTTCCTACGTTCCCAGCAGCTCTGAGATAGCACGTGGTGGAGCCAGGTTCCCAACCAAGCTCAGGTTCAAAGCCAGTCACGTGGCCTCCCATCATGGCAGGACCCTTACTGTGCCTGCTTTGTTATTCCTGGATTCTCTGAACAGCCTGGCCCAGCCTTCTGGCCCATGCAGCAGAGCCCTCGAGGTAGCAGGTGTCAACAAAGGCCACCATCCTCAGCTCACCTGCTAGAGCACTCTGCCTGGTGTGCATCCTGGCTCCTGAGCCTTTGTCTGGGAGGACCCTGTGGCCGCTGGACACAGGGTGGGCAGGTCACCATGGTGTTGGTTCAAGAGGACTGGGAGAGGTCCTGCGTCCCCTCACAGGGTCCAGAGCCTTTGCCTGCAGCCACGCCCCTCCCCCAGCGGCTGTGGAGGAGGCTGGTAGGGGCTCCACCCCATCCGCAGGCTGAGCACATGTCCCCCCCTGTGGTCACTCCTCTGCTTGGAGCAGGCGGTAGAGGAAGCAGACAGTGGAGCTCAAGCCAAGGTCGGTTGTGACTCAGCGCTGCAGCCTGCAGGACAGGCAGCCCTGGCCTTCCCACGCCTCAGCTGCCACCTGTGCAGTGGACACTGTGCTCCCTCAAGGGAGCCCCCCACAGGACTGCGTTCCGCATGGGTCGACCAGGTGTGTCCAGACAGGACGACCTGGAGACTGAGGGGACAGGGCTGCTGATGGCATGGGGCCCTCCTGGGTGAGGGCAGCTGCTGCAGGCAGGTGGCGGGGTGGCGGGGTGGTGGCGTGGTGGCATGACTGAACATGCCAAGTGCCTGGACTGTGCACCTGGGGGGCGGGGTCTCACAGTGTGTGAATTACAGCGTGGTGTTTAGACTGAGTGCACGTGGACAGGCTGGCACACACACAGTCCTGTCACCATCGACCTCACTGGGTCACAGACGCCATGTGTGACATACATGGGAAGGGCACAGGCCACTGCCTGGTCGCGTCCTGCCCAGGGGAAAGCGCTCTTCTGAAGGACCCTCTGCCCTGACACTCTCGGCAGCAGGCTGACTCCTGCCAGGGCAGGGTCAGGGGACAGGGTGGGGACAGGGGACAGGGTGGGGCCAGGAGGGAGCTACAGGGCGATGGGCCCACTCGGCTCCTGGGCTCTCCAGGCAGAGCGAGTGGCAGGGAAGGCGTCTCCTGGGACCCACGCTGGGCCGCACCTGCGCACCTTCTGGTCCAGGCCCTGGGCAGAGGGCTCACCCCTCCACTGCCCCCAAGTCGTGCCCCCAAGTCTCCTCCTGGGCGCCCGTTGCCCTCACCTTGATCAATACACCCAAAGCCTCGGCTCCCACCTGTGTCCTGGGCCGAGTCCTGTCCCCAAGGTAGCTGAAGCCCTTCCCCCAGCCCTTGCCAACGTGACCTTATTTGGAGACTGGATCTTTATACATCCTAATCGAGTAACTGAGACGAGATGCAGTCAAGTTCAGAGGAGGACATACTTAATGGGGATGGCCCCGAACGAAGGGCTGGTATCCTTGTAGGGAGGAGGAGATTCGGACACACAAAGGGGAGGTGGCCAGGTGAAGACGAAAGCAGAGACTGAGTGACATCTGCAAGCCAGGGTCACGGAGGAGCACCAACAGCCACCAACAGTAAGAGAGCACGGCCCACCAGACCTCCACTGCAAAATCTGGCCTCCAGACTGGAAGCAACACGCTAATGTTGCTTTGAGTCATTGTGTGTGGTGGTTTGTCACAGCAGCTGCCAGAACCTAATTCCGTCTTTCCTCACCAGAAATCCTGGAAGGAGCAGAGTCCACGGGCAGCCTGGAAGGCGGAAGCTGTCTGTTTGCCCAGCATCTTCATGATGAAACCTGCATCGGTCTCAGGGATAGAGGTGGGAGCTGCACAGGTCACCTGTGGGGGCTGCTCAGAGCAGCTCCAGGACAGCTGCCACTGTGCTCTGCCCAAAGATGAAGGTGCCCAGCAGCACAGAGATCACGCCCCAGGCCTCCAAGCAGCACCTGCCAATTCAATGCACCACGTCAGCGCCGGGCACAGCCAGCCCTGCACCCACGAGCGAAGCCGGCCTGGAAACGTGCTGCTGGACCCCAGGGGAGTCACCGGTTTTGAGAAAATTCTTTTCTCTCCTTTACCTGAGGGGATGGGTTTCTGAGTCAACTTTGGGAAATAAAGTACCCAGGCATTTCCCAAAACCTCCTCTCTCCATCTCTTAGTTCATAATCTTGTTTCTCCCCAATATTTTATCAGAGAAAAAGAAACTGAGGGGTGAGGGGCTCTGTTTCAAACTCCCCTCTTCTCATCTACTTAAGCTTCCCAATGAGGGATGAGATAGAAGCTGTAAGTCACAGTCACACACCCACTGGGGGAGGAGGGTGGTGGAGGTGTGGGGTGGGGACTGGCTGCCAGGGCCACATTCGCAAGCTTCCTAATATAATCAGGTGAGTCAAGGAGGTGGGGCAACGAGAAGATTCCCACCAACAGCAGGGTGGCCAGAGATGGCTCTGGCCCTGTCAACAGAGGCTAGGAGGACCCAGGGGCCAGGAGGGGCATCTCTGGTGAGCACATGTCAGTGCCACCCACGCACACAGTGGGGGGACGGCAGGTGTGACCCCAGCCACAGCACCCCTTGAAGCCACTCGGTGGTTCAGGAGGTCGAGAGCAGCTTAGGAAGAAAATCGTCTTGAAAGCTCTCCAATAAAAACCGTGATGAGCATGGATCATGGGACAGAGACCAAGAGCAAGATTCCAAAGAGCGCACCAGAGACATGCCATTAGGGTGCCAGATGGCCAGGGTCAGCTCTGGGCTCAGGTGGGGAGAAGCCACGCTGAGCCTGCTCTTTGGAGAAGCTGAGCTTGAGTCCAGAGGGGCTGGGGGACAGGGACACAGCCGGGCCACACCCTGGCTGTTGTGACTTCAGAGTGTCTGAATAGGGCTGAATGTGTCCCCCAAGGCTCACGTCCACCTGGGACCCATGCGTGTGACCTCTTTGGAAACAGGTCTTTGCAGAAGTAACGGCATGAGGATCTGTGAGGAGATGTCCTTCTAAGAGAAGGGCAGTGGGGGACTTGAGACCCAGAGCAGATGGCCACAGGAGGACGGAGGCAGACACGGGTGCAGCAGCTACAAGCCAAGGACACAGCGGCCACCAGCAGCCTGCAGAGTGGGCAGCCTGAGCCCAGGCTGGTCCCCAGGGCTGGGAGAGGGCGCTTTCCTTGCGTTCGGCCTCAGGAGATGCGAATCTGCTCTGGTGGCCCTAAAACGCTAGAGCAGCATGTCCCCACCTGCCCAGCCTCTGTCTTTGCACCTGTGAATGGGAACCAGCCCCACTCTGTCCTGTCGTCTCCTGACCAGTGGAGGCTCCCCAGAAGGACGGTGGTGGTGTGTAACAGGCCCAGCGTGGCCGCACCTAGGGCACCAGCAAGACCTGCTGTCTGAGGACACTGCATGTAGCCCTGGGTCCAGCCTGCCACCAAAGCTCCCCGACTCCACCAGCATGCAGCCTGTCCTGCCCTGGGTCTAGCCAAGTAGCCAGGATCGGGTGGATGTGCATAGGCCGGGCACTGCTGGCTGGGCACCCATCTGGCTCAGCTACCCTCTTACCATGGGGATGCCCCCTCCTCACAGGAGGAGGGTGGACAGAAGCACTGTCACTCCTAAGTCCATGGGCACACCCAAGCCACCATCCTGGCTTTGAGGACACTCACTTGACTCTTGGTCCTATGGGCTCGACGCCCACGGCACAGATGAGGCACAGACCTGTGAAGAGATGCAGTCAGCACCCAGGTGACCTCAGGGGCCCCTCGAGGACTTTCCCACAGGTGGCCCACAGGCCAGTCCCTCCTGGCTAGGTAGCACAATGTGGGGGCCCGAGGCTCAACTTGGAGTCAGGAAGGTGGGGGGAGTTCCAGCTCAGCACCCCTCCAACACCTTGGCCAGTGGTGACAATGGCCTCTAGAGCCTCAGTCTCTCAGGGACAGTGACAACACCACCCACAGCAGCATCAGTGAGGGTATGGCGCAGATGAGGCTGGCACCTGGAGGCGCTCAGCGGCTGGCAGACACGGCTCCTTTTCCTTTGCCTATGTGTGCCGGTTTTAAAGTAGCTCTGGAGGGCCCACGGGATCCCCACCACCGACCTCCAGCCCGCATGGGAGGGCTGGGACTCAAGGCACCCAGCGCGAGCTAAACCGGAATACGGCGCCCAGATAGGAGCTCAGGGCGCGCGGCTGGGAGAGCTCTTCCCAGGATGGAGGAAGCCCCCCTCCACCTGTCCACCCCGAGCTCAACCCACCAGACAGCCTGCTGCTCCCACTCTGGAAGTGTCCTCAGCCTCTTGATACCCAGCTTCTCCCCGGCCCTCCATGTCAACATCTGTCCCCCAAGGCTGTTGGTGACGCCCCCGCTGCCCTTCTACCTGGCCCCAAGTTGAACTTCACTTCCCGTTGGGTCTCTGGAGATCCACCCAGGGGCACCGGCCTCCCTGTTTGACATGGCAGCTGGACTGCGGCATTGAGGGTGTCTGGCTACAGGCTCCCCAATTTTACCATCTGCGCAATGTGGCTGCTCTCCCAGCAGAACTGCAGGCCTGTGGGCCTCCGCTGTCCCCCCAGGGCTCCTCGGGCCCTGAAGCGCGCCCCTGCTGGCCCTGGCTGGGTTCCTTTGGGGAGAACGCCGGGTTGGGACTGGAATGCGTGCCAACACTGGGAGGTCTCTCAGGAAGCCCTCGCCTGGGGAAAGGGAGTGTGCCTCCAGTTCCGGGACGGGTGGGGACGTCCCTCGTGTCTTTTGCACCTGGAGCTATGTGAGTTTCGCTGCAATTAAAAAATTAAGCCTCATCCTGCAGTAAGAGGCAGCAGTGGCATGTGGACAAAGCTGCGGTGGGCTCGGCCCTGCCACGCTCCAGCTGAGCCTCCTGGGACTCTGGCCTGGGCCTCCCCATCCGTGGGATCTTGAGCTGCTAAACCAGGGCAGGTGTGCAAAGCCTCAGGCCGCATGCCTGGTGACCAGGGGCCTGCCTGGGGCCCGCAGCCTGCCCACAGGGCTCCCACCCCACGGAAACTTGAGGCCCCACAGAGCTGGGCCAGCCTGGAGGCGGCCACTCACCCGGGAAGATGAAGATGAAGAAGGAGCTGATGCCCCCGATGATGCCAATGATCTCGCTGAGGTCGGGCAGGAACAGGGCCATGGCCAGTGTCACAGCGATCCACAATATGGTCAGCGGCACTCGAACCCATGGCCCCGTGGGGTCAGCTAGCACCAGGGGCCCCCGAGCCCCTCTGCAGCTCCTTGTCCAAAAATCCTGCATCACAGACCTGGAGGCCGTGCCGACCCAGAAACATGGCACTCCAGGGGCCCCAGCCAGTCCCCAAGTCCTCCTCTCGTCCCCCGTTCTGCCCCCAGGTGCTTACTCCCCAGGGGACCCCCAACCCTCAGGGGCTCAGGGACTGTCAGACGGGCTGCCAGCAGAGTGCAGCACCGGGGGAAGGTCCAGCGCGTGTGGCTCGGCCCAGTCCTGGTTGGCGCTCACTGGGCAGCACTGGGTAAGCTCCCCAGGCCCTCCGTGCCTGGTTTCCTCCTCTCCCCTCTGAGATAACACAGCCCCACCACAGGCTGAACCCGCCCACTAGTTGCCAGCCACCCCCGCCCGGCTCACCTCCCCAGGAAGAGCACAATGGGGTAGACGGTCACAATGGAGACGGCGAAGAGGACCCGGGCGACGATGATGGCCACGTCATCACCCGGGTAGGACATCAGGATGTCAGCAGAAACTCCGGTCCCAAAAGTTAAGAAGCCATAAGCCCCTGCGGCAGGAGCACAGCATCCAGCACACTTCAGACGGAGAAGGCCAACCCCCCAACACACAGGGCCCGCGGGTTTCCCTGGGAGCTGAGGGAAGGTTCCAGAAGGGCTCCCATCCCGCCCTTCTCCAAGGCCGTCCTGCTGGCCCTCAGCCTGCACATGATGCCCCTGGGTTGCACTCCCGCCCAGCCCTGGTGTCTGCTCACAGTTGGTGCCAGGGGCCTGCCCAGAGTGGGCGGAGGCTGGAGGCTCAGTGCTTGAAAACCCAACCTGCTCCAGCCCGGCCCGCTCCTCGGACAGCCCCGGGTCAGTGGCCACCCAGAACCACACAGCTGTTATGGTGGCCTGGGACTCAAGGACAATCCCCTGGCCTCAGTGACCAGGGTCACACCTGCCCTAAAGCACACCCTCTGGCCAGGAGCTGAGGCCTTCTTGGCTTTGCTCAGGGCTCTTTCTGAAGGGGGTCTGCCAGCTCTGGGTGTCCTCCGACTCGGGGCTAGACCGACAAGCCCTGCTCTGCTGAGTTCCCTTAGGGTGGCTTCAGAAGTCCAAAGTTGCCTGGCAGGCCTGCTGCAGCCCGAGCCTTTCCAAATCAGAGGCTCCAACAGGTGGATTAAAAAGCCACCAGGCTGGGAAGTGGCCAGAAGTCATCCCGCCCCACCTCAGACCTGGCTCTGTGCTGCAATGTGCCCGTGACCTCAGGCATGTCATGGCCCCTTTCTAAGCCACACATCTGAGGATCCGCTGCCCGTCTCGCAGAGTTCGTAAGCACCCGAGCCTGTCAGCTGCAAGTGTCTTGCGAACCACCCCGATGTGGTGTCATGAGGGCTACACTGCTGCTGTCTCTGAGAGCAGGAGGAGCAGGGGCTTTGAGGACAGCAGAGGGTGACTCTCAGCTTTGCACATCTTAGTTGTGAGGCCCTGGGCAAGCCCCGGAGCCCTCTGAGCTGCATTTATTCATCTCCGAGCGGGGCCTGTTCCTGTGGGGCGCTCAGAATGGAAACTGTGGAGCCAGCACTAGCTGTGGCTCCCCTTCCTTCTGCCACGCCCTGCCCACCCCTGGGTGCCCCGCAGGGTCCTACCTGTCAGTGAGTAGATGAGGCAGCAGGCCAGCAGGGACAGCACGGAGACCAGGGCCCAGTGGGAGAGGCTCTGGCTGCGCATGCTGCAGTAGATGGAGACGGCAGCTTCGTGACACTGGAGGGCAGAAGTGTGGTCAGCGAGACTCAGGTCAGCAGGCGTCAGGACCACCTGAACAACTGGGAATACTGCCCAAAGGCGGGGAGCACCCTGTGTGTCCAGCATTAGCAGAAGACATAAATAGACCACGGGAGACTCACACAGGCAAGACTGCATGGCTCCAAAAAGATGGAGCCCAGCTCTCTACCTGAGCCCCGAAGACTCGCAGGCATGCCACCATGAACACAGGGCCAGGCGGGAGAGCATGCCGCGGGGTGAAGTTCAGACAAGTCTGTAGCAGGGTTCCCGACCTCGGCACTACTGGCTTTGTGGGTGCAGGTAGTCTCTTGGTGGGGGCTGCTCTGTGCACTGAAGGATTGTGTGTAGCACTCCAGCTGTGATCCCCTGGATGCCCCCATTTGTGACAGCCCAAATGTCTCCAGATGTGGCCAAACGTCACTCAGGAGCATCTCTGCTCTAGGTGACAGATGGCGGAACAGTGGTTCAGGTAGAATGGGTGCCACTGGTGGGAAAAGGCAGCGAGGGGCCTCCCGGAGTGGACAGCGTCACTCAGGAGCAGACTTAAACCTGAATACTACATGTGCAACATGTCACCTCTTACAGGACTTGCCACATAAACCGTGCAGGGGATGCAAGAGCCCCTGTGGTTGGGTGTTGCACTCGGGCAGACGTGGCACTGGCACGGCAGAGCAGCCAGGGTGGACGGATGCTGCCTCCTCTCACACACTCCGCACTCCAGGCTCCCAGCTCCCAGGTAGGGTCTCATCACCTGGTTCCTTGCTCACCACCGCCCCACTGGTCACTCACTGAGCAGGGCCCTCCTGCGCCCCTCGGCAGCTGACCTGCCACCCAGCCCTACTCATCCTGCTTGGACCCAGCGTCCCCTCGCACACTTGGCCCCAACAAGTGCTCCTTTGGGTCTGGTGCTCAGCAGCCATCAGCTGCACGATCGTGACTGTGGCCACCTTGCCGATCTGGGGCTGCCCAGAGCCTGGCATGGCTGACAACCATACCATAGTTAACCAGGTTTAGTTAACCAAGTTTCCCAACTTCCCCAGCAGCCACCCTTGTCCCTCCCTGTCCCAGGCTCCGTGTCACTCAGATGCTGGTGCGTGCTGGGAATACAGTGTCAGCAAGCCCGCCACAGTGCCCTGTCATGGAGCTCCCCTCTCGGAGGTGGGGGCGGCACACTGGCCTCATCCCTCCGGGCCCCACCTGGGTGAGCCCTGGTGCACCTCCCTTGGGGCAGCTGTGTGCCTGCTTTCTCCCTGGGGTCTCCCTGAACCCCAGGAGATGAAGGCCACAGGCTAGCTGAGCCCCAAGCCCCCCGCCACGGGCAGCAGACTCTGGATGAGGCCCGCAGCTCCTCCATGCTGGGGCGCTCCTGGGACGCACACTTCCCAGACGGCCAGGAGTTCCGCCCGGCCGTGACGTGAGGGTGCTCCTCCACACACCGTCCCCTGTTCACAGCAGACCCCAGGTGCCCCCGCATCCCAGGCTCTGCTTTCAGTTCTGTGTGCAGAGGCACGGCGGGGCCCAACGTGGGGGCAGACCTCAGGGTGCTGGACGCACCAGGAAGCCTCCTTCCCTGTGCTCCTGCGTGGGGCTTCTGTCTGTTGACGGCGGGTGACAAAGAGGGGCCCTCAGGGTGGCTGCTCTGCAGGGCAGTTGGGGTGAGGGGGCTGGTGTGTGCAGGCTCACAGCTGCTCTGTGACAGAGGCCGAGCAGAGGTGGGGACACCAGACACAGAGACTGTGGCTGACTGTTGGGTGGGATGCTACTTGGGCCACAGCGAGGAAGGGAGCAGACACGCACCACGTGAAGGAAACATGGTGCCGAGGGGAAGACGCAGTGCCACGTCACTGGTCCCATGTATATGAAAGGCATATAAGGGGAGACCCAGGGACAGAGCAGGTCAGAGGTCCTTGGGGGCTGGGAGAGGGAGGCAGAGTGGCTGCTGACACTTAGGGGGCTCTTTTGGGGCCTGACAAACATGTTCTGAAATTGATGGTGGTGGCAGCTGTAGGCCTGTGACTCCGTCAACTTGTGTGCTTCAGAAGGGCGGGTCATACAATAAGTGACCTGCCCCTCAACAAAGAGGTAAAACCAAACCCAGAAGTCCCAGGGAGGCCTGGGCGGCTGGAATCATCCGGGCAGCCCCTCTGTTCCTCAGGCCCCACACCCAGCCTGCACAGGCCATGCGGGAGGGACCGTCCACTGCTAACTGCGCCTGGTGGCTGTTTGAATGAGGTCCGTTCCTGAGGACAACAGGCCCACCTGCCCCTCCCCGAGCTGCTCAGCCTCCATCATCTCTTTTCCCCCCACCTCTGGCCTAACCCTGCCCCCGCTGTCAGGCAGCCAAGCAGCGCAGCGGGTGTCCTTGGGTGTCCTTGGGTGTCCTTGGAGCCGGCCTGGTTGCTAGGAGAGCTGGGGCAGCCAAGACAAAGGTGAAGCCAGGGCCAGGCGCCCACCATGTGGCCGTGGCCGTGGCCGGGGCCGGGAGGGGCAGCCAAGCTAGACCAGATCACAGCCAACAGCAAATCCACGCTGCGCATCTCCCAAGATGTTGGGTGTGAGAGAATCGCCTGAACTGCTGGCGGAACCCCAGCAGCGGCACCGAGTCGGTAATAAAGATGAGAAACAGGAGTGTTTCAGATATTCCAAAAATGCTTCTCAAAAACAAAAGGGCAACGGCAGCAGAGACCGGCTGGGGGGGGGGCTGAAAGCTGGACTGCGCCAGTCCTCGGAGCTGGGTTTTACTTTGCGGAGTCCTGTGGTTGGGGGTGGCATCAGTGGAGGGGAGGTGGTTGTTTTTAGGAGATGGAGGCAAAACTTCCCCAAAGCAAACCACGAAAAAAGGTGGCAGCTGCCAGGAGAGCAGGGAGCCCCAGTTCCACAGAGGGGGAGGGGGCGTGGGCCGCCCCTCCCCCACCACCGCCCTCCGCCTGCCCAGGCCGGCATGCTGGGGGCTCCCTGTGCTGCGGCCTCCGCCTGGTGGACCCTCCTCCACCTGGCTGCACCCCCATTCTTCCAGAGTCCTTGCCCCCGCCTCTGCTGGGGGTGGGCCAAACCAGCTGCCTTCACTCCTCGCCTGCCTCTGCCACTTGGTCCCTCCAAACTGTGAACCTCACGAGACACGATCCTTCTCACCTGGCCCCTGGGACAAACCACCTGCAGGCATGGTGTCCTGGAGCATAGGAGGGCAGCCCCAGGCCTGCCCGCATGGTGACAGTCTGTCAGCACTCTGCAGAGGGGGACAGGATCCAGGTCCCCACACTCTGCTGCAAACCTAGTACACATGGAGCTGCTGCTGGTGAGGACTAGGTTCCCAAGTTCAATGACAATTCACAACCCGCCAGGGAAGCCAGACGCCAACCCACTGACTTAGTCTCTGAAGACAGCCTCTGGCCAACACTGTGGGTGCCGAGAGCCCATGGCACCCTAGAACAAGTCCTCGGACTTCTCCCTGACAGGAGCAGGGAGCCTCGGAAACGGCCACACTCTGAACTCACCTGGAAACCGAAGCAGATCGTGGGGAAGACACTGAACACAGACGTCCAGGGCGGAGGGCTGCAAGTCACAAGAACAGGCGTTTGTTAAGGAAGGGGAACTCAAATCACTCGCAACTCGAGAGGATGAATTTTAAACCATGCCAGAGGCCCTACCTGAGTACAGCTACGAGTTTTTTTTTTTTTGTTTTTTTTTTAATTTCTTTTAGTTGAGGATGGACACAATTCCTTTATTTTATTTACGTGGTGCTGAGGATCAAACCCAGTGCCTTCTACATGCGAGGCGAGTGCTCTGCCACTTTCTGTCCTGGCTGAGTGGCCCACCAGCTTAGCCTCCTCACGGTCCCCTCTGCCCAAGTAACCTGGCTGCTGGGTTTTGCTGCATCCCCCTGTAGGGACACATCTACCATGGCCAGGAGCCCCAGGCTACTGTGGCCTTCAGCACCTGTGTAGCCTGGGCCTGTAGCTGGTCATCCCTTGGGATGGCTGCAACCTTTCTAAAGAAGGAAGGGGGCTTTCCTTGGCCTTGTCACGCATAAGGAAAGAGAGAGACCTCACAGGAAGGGCCAGGGCCCTGCAGGAAAGCCCAGAAGTCCCACATGCAGGCTCCCCGGGGGCCTCCCTCTGGAGGCCACGAAGAGCTGTCTGTGCAGACTCACCTCAGGGAAGGACGGGGCTCCTGCACGAGGCCATGGGGCCAGAGGTAGTACTGCACTGTGATGACCAGGGCCAGGTAACAGGAGGCCAGGGTGCCTAGGGTGCTGACACAGACGGGTGGGCGTCAGGGTGCCAACACTGGGCGACAGCCAGCGCAGGGAGGTGCACACTGGCATCCAAATTCCTGCCCTCCCTGGCCAGCGCGGTCGCATTCTCCTCCTGAGCATGCGTCCCCTCATCTGTACAAAGGGCAGCAGCACTGGCCACTCAGGCCAAGAGGCTGGGCATGTGGAGTTTTTAATGTCACTGGCGTCCTCGGAGATGATAACTTGCCCCTCACTAACAAAGGCCAGTCAGCTGCTCAGACTTGGCACCCAGGTCAGGGTACCAGTGGTCAACCTCAGGAAGAGGAGAAGACCGTGGCTCAGAAGCTCTGTGGCCTGCCACGTCTATTGTTCCAGAGGCAAAAATCTACCTCTGCTCACATGCCCTGAGGGGAAAGGCCTGTGCAGCCTGGGTGAGGTGCCCCATGCTCCTTTCTTCAATAGTAAACCCAAAGCCTCAGGGGGAAAAAAAAAAAAAAAAAAAAATCAAGAAAAAGCTGTGCGTGTCTCTGTGCCTGTGTGTGGCTGTGGGCAGGACAAGTCGGTGACAGTTCAAGAACACAATGTCATGTCACAGCAAGCTTCTTGCAGATTTGCGTTTCCCACCAGGGGCGAGTGTCGTTTCTACAAGCTTCAATCTCTTCCCTTCTCCAAATGGGGAGCCAGAGCCCAGCGGTCCCCTCGTCCCTCCTAATGCCAGCATTCGCCAAGGGGAGACCCAGTTGGCACGCTGCCCTGCCTGGAAGCGTCTGCAGCCCCTGTACCTTGTGTATTTCTGGACGGCGATGTCCCGTGGCATGGACAGGGGCAGGATGACCAGCGCGGAGAGCGTGGGCAGGGTGAAGCGCTGGGTGGCATACCACGGCTGCAGGCCGCCCGGCAGGAGGGAGTCACACACTGCCAGAGATAAGGCACAAGTGAGCCAACGAGCTTGGTGGCTGGCTGGGGTCAGACTGGGACCTGCGGGGGACTTCTGGCCGTGACTCTGGTGGAGAGCTGCTCTACGGCCTAGCTGCAGCACAACAGCAGCCCACACTTGGTGGTCTAGAACACCATGACCCAGGTCGCCAATCAGGAGAGTTAGGGCAGAGTTGAGCCAGCCAGGGCTGCCTCACGTGGGGATCGGGGCATCTTGGAAGGGTGTTGAGCTGATGGTGATTGCTCTGGAGCCTCCTGACAGCCCATCTGCAGGACAGAGCTGTCCCAGAGCCTACCTGACTTGAGGACTTGGTGCTCAGACCTCACCCACTTCCAGGGGAGGGATAACAGAGAAGCTGGGGCTATTGCTATTCTGCCACAGCTAGAGGGCTAACATGGAGCAGATCTGAGGCAGGACAGAGGGGCAGGAGAGGACGTCCACTGCAGCAGGAGGCAGTGAGTTTCTGCAGCTGGAGAGTCAGGGCAGGTGCTCCGAGCTGGAGATGCTACGAGGGTGCAGATGCCGGAGCTCATAGGTGGGTCATGGGAAAGAGCAGGCGCTCACCCACCAGCTCCCTAGCCGCCAGGAAACTCCAGTTCAGTGTCAGGGCTATGCCAGATTCTTCTCAGAGGTGCAGTTTCTAGGATATTTCTTGAGGTCCTCAGCATTACTTACAGTGGTCATTTTTACCCAACTTACTGACTCCCCTAAACACCCCAACATCTAATTAGCTCGCCTTCCCAGGAGCTTTGGGCTTGCCAAAGAAACTCATATCCCCAAATACCTAACCAGAAACATGGGCGGTACTCTCCACCCCAGTCAAGCGGGCAACTCACATCCTGATCAGCACCACGGTCACGGTGCTCCAACACTGGTCCTCAGCCCTCCTCAGCACAGCACTAGCAGTTCACCACTAGGAAACTAGAGAGAAGCAAGGCACTCTGTGGCCACTCACCCACCAGGAGGGTCAGGGAGACCAACTGTGATGCTGTATGACAGTGTTTCCTAAGACATGGTGGCCTTAATTCCAAAATCCCATGGCCAGGGACCTTTTCACACAGGGGTCAAAGGTCAGAGAAAAATAAATGGTAAATGGTAGACTTAAACCCAACCCTATCACTAATTACATTCCAATTAAGTCTAAACAATCCAATTAAATGTCTTGAGATTGTCAAGATGACAGAAAAATGCAAGAGCGGAACAGATGCTGTCTACAAGAAGTGCATTTTAAAATTCCAGGCCACCGTCAAGTTCAAAGTACAAGAAAAGGAACAATGTGTACTGCACACATCCCGATCTGAAGGGAGCCAAGTGGCCTATCTACAGCAGAGAAGGTGGACTCACCCAGAGATAAGGCAGAATGTTTCATAACGATAACAGAATGTCCCTAATCACAGAGCTTCAAAAACCAAGAAGCAGAGATTGACAGAATTAAAGGGAGAAATGGACAAATCTGCAATTGCAGCTGAACTATTGAGAAAATAACTAGAACAAGATAAAAAGATGAACAGGGCTGCCACAGGAGACCTGCACAGGGCTGCTGCCCACCTGGCCTGACACCCGTTCCTGCACGCTGCACTCAGCAACTGCAGAACACAGCTCCCCACAAGCACACAGAGTGCTGCCGAGGCTGACCAAGTGCTAGGCCACAGACCAAGTCCCAACAGATCTCAGAAGACTGACAGCTGGGGTGTGGCTCCGTGTAGAACGCTTGCCTAGCTTGCCTAGCAGTTGGAACCCCAGCACTACAAAAACAGTTGAAATTACCAAGTTCTCTGTCCACAAAATAATGAAGGTACAGACCAAAACAGGATCTAAAAAACTTCCAAACAAACGGAAATTAAACAACACAATTCAAACATCCCATAAGTTATAGAATAAATGACAGCAAGAATTAGCAGATATTCAGAATGGTATAAAAATGAGAGCAGAACATATGGACACTGGTAAGGTGCTGCTAAGGCAGTGCTTAGAGGAAAAGTCTTAGCAGGGGACCAGAAAGAGTCCATGTCACTTAGGCATTTCAAAATTGAAGGCATTACTGGGCCTTTTTCAGCAAGGATTTCTTGCAGTTGGCTCCATCTCCCCGTCTGTGAAATGGGCTGCGACCACTGGACATCCCATGTAGGCATGGTCTCTCCTGTTCAGCTCATGACCACTGCCCTACTGCTGATGATCAGTTTGAGTCTCCCTGCCCCACCATGTTGGGAGCTTGGATGTGCAGCCCCTCGGGCCCTGCCCAGTATCTTGTGTCCCACTTACTATGGGCTCTGTACCCTGGGCCACTCTGACTCTTCAAGGATACTTACACTTCTCCAGCTGGTCTCCAATTACCCTGAAAAAAGCCACGGAGATCATGAGCAGGTTGATGATGAAGCAGGCCTCACACAGTTTCCCGATGGTGGGGCCACAGAGCCCATGGACCACACCCTGGTAGGTGGCCTGGCCGCTGACAGAGGCCGCGTAGCCCAGGATGACCAGCCCACTGATCAGGAAGACCAAGGAGACCTGCAGAGAAAGACTGTGGGACTATGCATGCTCAGGTCAGCAGCCCCAGGGCCTCCACTGGGCCTCTGCGGAGGCCAGGCTGGGGACTGGCTGTGGAACCTGCAGCCTCCACCAAATGGTCTTCCAATGGGCCTCTGTGGAGGCCAGGGCTGGGGACTGGCTGTGGAGCCTGGAGCCTGCAGCCTCCACCAGAGGGGCTTCCACCCCTCCCTACCCTGAGTCAGAGCTGCAGAGCAGGTGGAGCCCAATGGCCACTCTGGCTCTGCAGACCTGGGTTCTGACCCCATCCTGCCCCAGCAGGACAGAAGAGACAACAGGGGTCCAGAGAGTTTAAACTACGCCCTTGGGTCGCCTGGGTGTGGGTGTGTGCGGTGGTTAGGAACCCAAGGAGGAACAGCAGGCCTGGGCCCAGAATCTAACTGTGTGTGGCCTGCTGTGTGGGGCCAGACCATCCGCCCCTGCTGTTCCTTCTGTGAAATGGGCACAGCCTGCCCACCTCAGCAGGCCTGACCATGGCAGGGGACAGGCCTAGCTCAGTGCCCTCTCAGGGAGAGTGCTCCAGAAGTGGTGGCCATCCTTCAGTGCTCCAGTCTCCCTCTATGTCGGCTGAAATATTTTCCCCACTGTTTACCATGATTTCCAAACATACAGGAGAGTTAGAATGATTCTGCAGTGAGCACCACACCCACTTCCCAGCTTGGGCCAGGAGCAGCTCCTGTGCATGGCTTCAGTCTCCACCCGCTGGCCAGGCCTCTGCAGCTCGCAGCCTCCACTGATGGACGCATCTGAAGCCAGCTGCTGGTATCAGTGTGCTTCCCCGACACGGCTGCCCGCAGCTACGGAGGGCGATGTGTTCCCAGTCCCCCCATGGAATTTACACAGAATCAAGAGCAGGACCTTCCGTGTCATCGGAGTTGCACAGGAGATGCACGTGGTCACCCACTCCTTTTGGCACACAGTGTTCCACAGTCTCTGGAAGGTCCGCAGGTCCCTTCCAGCCAGCTCTGCCTGTCTTTCCCTGGAAGAAACCCCTGACCTCCCCTTCCCCCTGTTCTGTGTCCCTATCTGGCTTCCTCCACTCGGCATAGCTCTGATGACAGTACCCTGTGCTGTGTGTGCTGCTGATCACCATTTTTGCAGAGAATGGTCCACCACGTGCAGGGATGGTGCCCCAACCCGCAAACCTGCGACTTCGACTTAGTTTTTGCAGATGTCAATGACGACGAAGAGTCTTGAAGCATGTTGTTAAGAGCCTCAGGTGAAGTCACCAGGATCATGCAGCTGGCCCCAGTTCCAGTGATGAGCATCCTTCTGGGAGAGAGGAGGGGCCCCAGCAAAAGCAGGAGGTGGAGTCTGCAGTGAGGTGGTCACGCACAAGCTGCGGGCCCTGGGCCTCCAGGGGCCAGAGGAGGATGGAGGCCGTGGGCCCCTCTGACACCTTTGACCGACTCTGGCCTCCAGACTGTGGGAAGATGTTCCTGGGGCATCAAACACCCATCTGAGGTGCTCTGCCCAGCAGCTGGGGGAACAGACTCTGGCAGCTGCGCAGCTCTGCACACCCCAGCACCGTCATGTCTGGCTCCGTGAGGACCACAGCACATTTCTCTGTGCCAGAGAAGTTCCTGACACCCAGCAGGTGCTCAGTAAAGACCTTCGGGGGTTGAAGGAAGCGTGAGAGGAGCTTCGGCCCAGAACCTCCCCCAGGACCAGTGGCCACGAAGTGACGGCAGGACAGCAAAGTCTGGCCATCTGTCCCAGGTCTGGCCTTCACAACTCCCAAGAGTCTGAGGTTCACCAGTTAGACCTCCTTCCACCGCAGCCATCGGAGCCCTCCAGCCTCTGCCCACTGAGCTCCTGGCAGGGGCCTGGGCAGCTCTGGAGGAGAAAGGATGCCCGAAGGTGGCTCCTTCCCAGCAGCAGAGCCAGATTCATGCACGGGGTGCTCAGAACTTTGCCTGTGAACCACCCGGCTCTGACTGACCTCACCAGCCACGGTGGAGAATGTTTCCTGCCCAGGGCCACGAGATGGACTGTGGCCTCCCCCATCAGCCAAGCAGATAGAGGGCAAGACCCCAGAGGCCCGGTTCCTAGACACGCAGCTCTGCGCCAGCAGCCTGCGGATCCCACCCAGGAGGCCGAAGCGGCCACGCAGCCACACAGGGCTCCAGAGCACCTCCTGAGACTTACCAGCTCCACCAGGAAGGCGGGCCCCACGCCCCCGGCCTTGTGGAAGGCCCAGGGGAAGCTGAGCAGCCCCGCTCCCAGCGCGGACTTCAGGAGAATGAAGATGGCGCCCACAGAGGACAAGCTGCGGCTGGCAGCGGCAGGGAGGGGCTTTTCTGGAGGGCCTCTGCCTCCTCGGGCCTGTCCCTCCATGGCTGGGGACAGCAGAGGGACAGAGAGAAAGGGCAGTCTTTGCCTTCCCTTTCTTCACAGCTTAAGGTCTCATTCCCAAGACCTCGGATTCCTCCCTCCAGGTCAGCTAAAAGCCCAGGTCAACCCCACCCCGCAGCCCTCTTCCTCGGCCTGGCCTGGCCTGTCCCAAGCGCCACACAGGCAGTAGCTCCGTGACCTCTGCCCTCACCCCTCCACTTTCTACCCGTTTATTCTCACTTCTGTTCTCTGAACCCCGTGGTGATCCTGACCCCCTGTCCTTCCCCCGCTTCAGTCCTCCAACTCCCTCCCCCATCCACCCTCAGCCCACTCCACCACCACCAAGCTTCCAACCTTCTGCACCCATGGCACCCCAAGCCCTGGTCCTTACCACAGATACCAACGCTAAGGGGCCAGACAGTCCCGGCCACCAGGGACAGGTCTCAGGCTCCCTCCAGCTGCCTCTGCTGCATTGCTTGAGCAGGGAGGGCTGCCGAGAAAGAGCCCACCTCAGCTGGGGATGGGCTGACCGCTGATGACGGAGGGGGCCCCAGAGGGCATGTGGGGTCAGGGCCCAAAGCCCAGGGAGACAGGGACGAGGGGTCAGAGCCACCTTGCCAAGAGTTTGCAGCTTCTGAGACAGCTGACCTCACCAGGGATCTTAAGATACCCCCACAGGCCCCTCCTCGGGGTGGGGCTTCCCAGGGCTCTGAAGGAGCTCAGCTGGCTTCTCCAGGGCCCCGCCCTCAGGGGCCCCTGTGAGGCCCCCAGCCTGAGGGTGGGGTGGAGGTCTCTGAGCTGAGCCTGCCGCGGACTGGCAACGTGACTCCTGGCCAGACCCTCATCTGTAGCAGGTGTGCCACGTGGGGTGCCAGGGGCTTCCCTCCCCCGCTTGCCCTGGGAGCTCCTCCAGCACTGGGCTCCCTCTCACCTGAGGCCTGCCACGGGGCAGACTCCTCACCTTTAACAAGCTTGATGGGGAGGCAGCTGCAGCTGGTCCCGAACCACACTTGGAAGGGGACCCCCTCTTCAGATGGCAGAAAGGTGGCACTGGCCCCACTCTGAAAGAGGCACACGAAGTCCGGTCTTGAAATGGAGTCTGTTGGTTCCTGGCAGCCAGCCCCCTCCCATTCTTACACTCCCTTGTACCCGAGTCCCCTGGGGCAGCCGTGTTCTGGCTGCAGCCCTTCCCCAGTGCTTTTGCCCCAGCGGGTCCGGCTGGGGCCTGGGAACCTGCGTTTCTGATGAGTTCCCAGTGCTACTAAGGCTGCTGGCTGGGGACCTCCTGTGGGAACCGTGGCTGTAAGCTATGTCAATGCCCAGAGCCCCACCCATCCGGCCAGCCCACACCTGTCAGACACCAGGGGGGCCTCAAAAGGCTTTTTCCTTGTGTGCTCCTAAGGTCCCACCCTCTGATTTGGTTACCTCCTTAAGGCTCACACAGCCGAGCTTAATATATGCTTGACCAGCTGTGACCAGTTTCTCAGCATGCATGCATGCACAGGTTGAAGGAAGCAGGGCTGGAGGTCCAGGAGCTCAGGACACACACAGCACTTGGGCTGCCACCGTGTGTGGGCTGAGAGCCCAGCTTTCGAGAACGTCCACCTCAAACACTGAGAATGTTGCCATGGTCCTGCTGCACACAACAGGGCCTGGGCTCAGGCAAGGGCCGTGACAGGTGCCCAGCATCTCACCTTGAAGGCTGCAATGCCACACACCTCCCTGCCCCTCTGACTCTTGACAGTGCTGGGGACAGGTTGGATGAATGAGTGAGTGAGCACACGGACAAGAGAAGACGAGAAAGGGAGAGTCACTGGGTTCCCCTGACCCCGGCCTCTGCCTTAGGTTCCTGTGGCTGCTGTAACAGAGCACCACAAACCAGGTGGCTTAAACAACGGGCATTTATTCTCTCGTGGTTCTGGAGACCAGCAATCTGAGGTCCAGGTGTGAGCAGGGTGGTGCTCCCTCTGAGGGTTCTAGAGGGCCTCTCCTGCCTCTTCCAGCTTCTGGGCTGTGGGCATTCCCTGGAGGAGGCCACACTGCTCCGACCTCGGCTCCATCTTCACGGGGGTTCCCTGTGCCAAGGCTCCCAGGAAGGCCCCCGGCTGGGGCCTGGGATCGGGCACTGCTGGGAAAGGCCTTTCCTGCCTTCGACTCCTTGTCCTTCTCACTGGAGTGAGGTCGTTGAACCTTGGGCGATGCTGCTGGGCACGGCAGGGCGGGCAGCAGAACAGCAACAGCCTGGGCCAGAGGAAGCGGCGTGCAGCATTCATGCAGCCTGCCCTGGCCCTGCGAGCAACCGAGGCTCGCTCTCTGCCCACTCCTGGCCTCCTGAGAGCAAAGATAAAGAGCCCTTCATCAGCGGCTGGGGACTTTGTACTCCTTAATCTGGCTCTGGGGGCTCAGGGGCATTTTCCTGTCCCTGCCGGTGGGTCCCTCATTAGCTGCCCATTAATGTGCATGACTTGGAAATTGGCCACTGGGCTGTGAAATTCCAGGCCGTGGGGAAAACCTCTTAATTCTGAGGGGCTTTGAAATCCACCCTCTGCCGGCATCACAGGGCTGCATGACCTTTCCTGGGCTGTGGAGGGGCGCCCTGTGGGGCCCCATCTGCAGCAGCCGGGTGGTGCCCCCCCAGAGCCCTGCTCCCCGCCCCACTGGCCCCACACAGCCTCCTCCGGCGCAGAAGGCAGGCAAAGAGATGCGCAAAGGCGGCTCTCCCCAGCACCCACACGCCCTGGCCACCCCTGGATCCTGTCTTCTCCCCATGGAGCATGTCAGAGGACAGGCCAGGGACTCCCACGGCAAAGTGGCTCTGCTGGGTCCCTCTGCACTCACACCTGTCGGGGATCAGGGAAGCAGACTGGTGACAAGCAAGGGTCTCAAGATTGTGCCAGGCCAGCCGGGTCTTCTGTGGTGGGACCACAGGGAGCGCAGCAGGCAGAACACACCTGAGGACACGCTGCCCATGCCCACAGTGAGGGCTCTGCAGGTGCTAGTGACTGCTGGGCCCTGCTGCCCATGGGGAGGGTTCTTTGTGGGAGATGTCCTGTGTGAGCAGGGCAAAGAAAGGCACAGGGGAGAGTGCAGGTGGGCAGGATGGCTGAGGGCAGCCAGGGCACTCTGCTGAGCCACTGCGGGCATGACGTCTCCATGCAGCACTGCACAGATCCCCGCAGTCAGGCTCTGTGTGCCTCTTCATGACACCAGGTCCCTGGGGACACACCAGCACATGGACTCCCAGCATACCTGTGACTGTGGCTGGCTGGGACAGACAACGGGAATCCACACCAGGGGTAAAAGGGACCCCTGGGAGCAGGACTGCTCAGGTGAGGGACTCGCTGCACCCTGCAGGCGCTGGCCAAGCACACGGCCTACAACACTTTGCTCAGGGACTTGGAGGCTCCCTCCAAGGCTCATAGCAGCAAGTGGTCAGGCTGAGGCTGGACCCAGGCAGCCTGAGTCCAGAGCCTCTGACAACTTCCCCTCAACGTTCCTCCAAGGTGGACCCCTGGAATCCCACTATCTTTGGCTCCAGGACAACAAACCTGTTGGCCAGACTCCAAGCCACCTCTCCAGACCCCAGTGACCCTCTTCTTCTGAGAATTGAGCCCTGCTCTATAGGAACTCTCCCCAACAAGGAGCTCTCTCTCCAGGTTCATCTCAGCAGCAACCCTGTTCTGCATTCCTCCCAGCACCCAGATACCTTCCTAGGGTGTCACTGTCCCTTTTAGAGCGAGGATAGACATGGAACACTGAGCAGACACCAGCAGGAGAGAACAGGAAGTAAGCACACAGGTCCTGGATCTGAGCAGGACAAGTTCACGATCTCCTCTGCTATCTGTCTCGAGTCAGGGTGGCAGTGGGCATCCTAGGGCCTCCTCTCCTCTATGCCCGTGGTGACGCACCTTGGTCACCGTCTGACTGTGACGGTGACCAAGGTGCATGACCACGGGCACAGAGCTCCAATGGCAGCCCCCGCTGCAGGAGGCAGGGTCCTGCTCCTGGGGCTGCTCTCTGTTAACGCAGCTCCCGTGGGTCTCAGGCTTCCTGGCTGCAAAGCTGTCCTTGCTCAAGGCCGCCGTGGTCTGTGGCTGAGGCGGAGCTCCACCTGTCAGAGTGTCCCTGTGCAGGCTCCTTCCTGGAAAGGCCCTGAACACCTGGAAAACCCCACTCTGTTCCCGACAGCCTCTGCATGCACTCTGGGTATCCATGCTAGTCCCCCTGTCCTCGTTCTATCCCAACTGTCTGACTTAAGCCCAAAGTGTGTGTATACCCTGAGCCCCAAGAAAGTGAAAAGCCAGCCCGACAAGTGAGAGAGAACACCCCAAGTCTGATAGCCCATCATGGGCTGGCGGGGCCACCACCAGTACAGAGGCCCCCGAAGTCCCCTTGGCAAAAGCAGAGTGCAGCAGAAGAACTGCTCACAAGGACAAGAAGCACGACAGACGCCGACCTGGGAAGCCAGACAGGGACCCCTGAATCTGTGGAATGCGGGGATCTGTGCAATGCTGCATGGCGATGTCATGCCCACAGTGGCTCAGCAAAGTCCCAGGCAGGAAGGTCCCAGGGACCAGGAAGAGGGACCCCAGGCCACGCAGCCAGCGTGGAGGCAAGCTCTCCAGCCCAACACCTCTGGTTGGAACATCATCCCACAGGGTTATCACCTAGCAGGTTAGGCTGATGCCACTAAGAACAACAGAGAGTTTTGGTCACTTCACACAAATAAAACCAACCAACCAAAAAACAAACAAACAAACAAAAAAAAAACCCACTTTAATTCAATCACTTGCCAACATTAAAAACTGGAGGGTTTCATGTAATCCAGACTTCAGGCTTCTGTCACATCCAAAGCTGCGCTGCCAGACAGGGCCTCGTCCCCAGAGAGTCCCATCCCGCTGCCCTTCCCACTGCATCCTGCCTGCTCCGAGTGCTAGGGGTGTGCCGGAGCGGGGCAGCCCACACACGAGAGGACTGGTAGGGAGGCCAGAGCGCCACCACTGACAAGCAGGAGCCACTCTGAGATCCACTGCCAGCTGCTGCCCGTGAGCACGGCTGTGCTCAACACCAACAACCGGGAGGCCACCCGTGTTAGAGCACTCGCCTAGCATGTGCGAGGCCCTGGGTAAATCCTCACCACCACATAAAAAATAAAGATATTGAGTCTAACTACAACTAAAAAAAATAAATATTAAAAAAAGAAATGGGCCCAGGCTCTAAACAGACACCTCCCTGAGACCCGCAAGCCGACAGCCAGGAGCAAAGGAGCCCCAGGCCTCTCTTCAGGGAAACAAATCCAAACCACCTGAGACACCCCCGTGCGCCTGCAGCGTGGCGCTGACCAGAGAGAGGGAAACCCCAGTGCTGTGAGGAGGGCCGCTGGAAGGGCAGGAGGGCAGGTGGTGCCGGCGCCTCGGGAACAAGCCTGGCCGTTCCTCGAGAGTTCAGCAGAGCTTGATGGCTTCAGTCCCAGGCATGTGCCCAAGAGAAAGAGAAACACACCCCACAAAAACTGACCACGAACACTCCCAGCAGCGCCAGAGGGAAACCACCGAGTGCCCATCAGCAGCAGGTAGACGGGCAGACCGACCCACTGGGGGTGGAGGAGCGTTGAGGCACAAAAGGACAAAGTTTGACACATGACACACGAGAGCCTTGAGGACAGGACTCAGAGTCAAAGAAGCCAGTTGCAAGGACCACCTGTGAGTCACCCTGAGTTGGTGACAGCACACAGCACAGGGTTTCTTCTGGAATCTGACAGTGAATGGCGATGGCTGCCTAACTCAGCAAACCCCAGGACTCCCTGGACAGGGCACTTTAGAGTGGAAAGTCGTGTGGTCCGTGACTTAGCTCTCAGTAGAAAAACTCACAGGCCAACTGGCACCTGTTCCAGGTTGTTACCAGAGAGAAATGAGAAGAGGAGCCGGCAGGACACAGCGCTCTCCAGCTTCATATGGGTAATGCATATTTATTGAAAATTTTCTTCACCGACAATGGTGAAATCAAGACCCCAAATTACAAAACATGATGGCAATTGATACTTATAAAAATAAAGCAAAGGTCTGTGTTTCACAGATTTGTGCCAGTCTCCTTTGAACCTCAGTCAGAAAAGAGAGTGATTCCTTATGATGTCATAGTAAAAAACTGCATTCCATTGACAAAAAAATAGCTTTGCTTCCAAATAGCACAAGTCTTTAAAGTGACTTTCCCAACAATAAATATAGAAAATAGCCTTTAACCAGCTCAGCTTGGTGGCTGTCTCACGTAGTTAACAGGAGCTCTCCGCCGTCTTTGGTGCGCTCAGCTGCTGGTGAGCTGCTGGTGAGCTGCTGCCACTGCTGCTGCCGCCGCCGCGTCCCTCCTGCAGGGGTCCAGGTGTGAGGTGCATCAAGGTGTGCCACCAGGCCTGCACGGGACTCAGGAGGGGGGCCTGCGCGTGACCCAGGAGGGGGCCTGCAGACAGGACACTCTAACTGAGCTGCAACTGGAGGCTGGATCCTGCTGAAAGAGAAGCCTCTTGGGAAACCCTCCCAGGCTCTGCTTGCCCACCAGAGCCATCCTCAAAAACTCTTTGGCTTGCAGGCTCAGCCAGTCTGACCGTCACACTGATGGGGCCTTTGGTGGGTGAAACTGCTGCATGAGCTGGGGGCGCTTCACCCTGGGCTTCCTCCGCTTCGGCCTGCTCTTGGCCTTGTTGATTTGCACCACAAAGAAGGCCAGGACCACCATGGCTCCCAGGAAGGCAAACACGGGAATGGTCTGGCCCACCTCCTGGTTGTAGCGGCCAGGCATGATCCCTGCAGGAGGACAATGGAGAGTCAGCAGTGTCACAGAGCTACTGCCAAAGCCCTTTCTACAAGCCAGACTCCTCAGAAACCAACGGCTCTGATTTCATTAGCTGAGGAGCAGGACACACTTCACTTTTCAGCCTCCACTAAAGTGACCCAGGCCGTTAACAGATCATGGGAGAGAGAGGGGGGCAGCATGGCTCCCCAGTCAAGCAAAAGCACTCCTAGCAGAGGGCAGGGGGCTCTGGCCCCTCTTCCTGGGCTCACTACATAAGCCCAGGAACAAGCTTCGCTCCTGTCACAGCCTACAACAGTGGGGCCCAGACAGACATTTTGTGTCCCTAACAGCAACAGAAGATGGATCTCAGCCTTGATACAGGAAGGAAGAGGAAGGAAGCAAGGCAAAGAGCTGGGAAGGCCACACCCCCATTTCTAGGAAAGCCCTCCCAGGACAAGACATGGGTGAAAACCAAGAGTGGCCACTGCAGGACCCTTGGTTTAGAACGTCAATGACTCTGCAGCCATCGTCAGGGCACCCTGTGACCAACATGTGAGGCCCCCAGTATCCCAGGTTAGGCTGGACAAGACTGTGAGCCACCAACTAGTAAGACAGCATGGGTACAACACGCAGGAACGCCACGGTCACCACCACACACACGGAGGTGCCATCGGACAAGACGTGCTCTCTGTGGCAGCACAGGATCATTAATCTTCAGAAGTGAGGAACCTGTTCAGGTCGTGCGACCACAACTCAAGGGCACTCCTTCCTGATCCCAGGGGTTTCTGGTCAAGTCCTGAAACCCAGAAAACCCTGTTTGGAGCTAAGAGTCCTCGGGGAGACTGCAGGGGTTCATGGGGCAGAAGAATTGCCCATACTCAGCTGGAGTGATTTGGTAC